AGACTTTAAGCCAACTGGAATTTTTCGCAAGCTTTTTTTCTGTGACTTGACAGTTTGAACGCATGAAAGTCAGTTTGGCAATGACATTGTTTATTAAACATTTCATATAAATGATTTTTATTATTATTCTTCGGCTGCCCAGCGCGCCGATGATCTCACTTTTCGACTGAATACTGAAAAATTCATTTTCGTTTATTGCATGCATAATAAATGGTCTAGTCTGAAGCACCGACACATGGTTCGTCCAAAACCCAGATGTGTTCGGATCACTGGAATAACCCAGAAAAGCGATCAACTTAATTGTGTTAATTTGCAATAGAGAACTTTGGGAGGGAAATTATGGTATCGAAGCACTTCCTCAACTGAAATAATTGAGAGAAATTACTGGTGATGGATAAGTACTTTGTCATAATAATTGACACAACTAGGGGGAATTCCATCAATTCATTTAAATGAAAATATTAATTAACAGATCTTGAATAAGCCTAGAACAATAAAAGTGCGAAAAGTCGTAAAAAAAATAATGTTCCTTTTAAAGCTTTTTTACATCAATGATTGGCAACCAAAATCAGAGATACAATAGGAAATAGCAAACCGTAAAAGTATAATAAAAATGGTGATTATAGTTTTAAATTCAATATATACTTAAGCAATCAAAAAGACATAAAAATTGCTAGTAATAAAATAAAACACAACCCTACTTTCTAGGACTTATAAAAAATATAAGGAAGTAGATTTCACAATAACATTAAAAAGTTCTTCAGTTTAAGCCTAAGGAGTTTTTAAAACAATCAAGAAACCATCTGGTTGTCAAAGATACAAAAACAAACCTCAATAAATCTTACGCAACCACAAAGGCACCACCATAAAAAATTAAACTTTTTTTGATTTCTTTGTGGTTTGTGATAAAAATGAAAGACCACAATAGGATTCACTTGAAAATCAGCATGTTATTATTGCAATTACTATCTCGTTTTCAACTCCGCCCCCTATAAAAAGATTTTCCCATCTGCTGGTGCACTTATATCATCCAACCCACCCTTGACCCCCAACTTGCATGTCCATTTGGCATATCTTTTAATTAAAACAAAAGTTTCCTCTCAAACCTGAAAGATATTTGCAGCACGCATGGCTTCTATTTTGACCACCAAACTCAAACCGCCAAACCCCCCTCATCTACGCCCCTTTTGTAATGGGACGACCGCAATCTTCACTCCAAATGTTGCATGCAAATGGAATAAAATAGTAGTGGTAGAAAGGGCAGCGAACTACTTCACCTACTAGAGTCACAGAATACAGTACACACTCATTAAGAAGTCGGAAAACGTTATCCCATCCACCCCCTCGTAACCCCCCTCAAAAAAAACCCCAGCCTTGACCATTTTAAAGAGGGGCGTACGAAATTAATAGACTCTCCACTACACTCGCTTAATTATCACAAAGAGACCCAGAGCAACAGCAAAAACACTTTTCAAATGGGCAAGTGCTTTCCACCCCCCCATCCCTTTACCCATTTTCCTGTGGTGCGTGTGTCTGCTTTATTAGATGATGATAACTAGCTAATGAGTTGAACTCTGCGAAAAGCCGACCAACGACATTGTGGCATCACGGTTACAAAATTCTATCTTTGTTTTGAAAGATCATCTTTTGTATTATCCCTTATAGTCTAAGAAAACTTACTTCTTTATTAACTAATTACTATATAATAACGTATAAAATCTTGAACCTTATTTTTGTGTAGACATTTAAGATACCATTTAACTATATCCTCAAAAAGTATTGTAATATTTATTTGTTTATAATTTAGACATTCTATATTTTGGATTCATTAAAATATTATTATATATATATATGCTACCCAATATGTTAAATAAAATTTGTTTCTGTGTAGTTTCTTAGTGTGAGAGCTTAATAGTGGAGTGTGGATGGCCAAATGCAGAAGTTTACCCGGAGAAAAACAACCATAAGCTGTGGAACCTTACTCATAAGTCTGAAAGCTGCCCGCACATTTTCAACAACATCTTTGATCTTGAGTTTTATGTCTCATCGTGACATACTCTTTCCCATAATGAAAGATATACGAACTCAGTGCGTGTGGCTTATCTTGTACAATTTATTTGAGAGTGGATCTAAGCTATCTTAATCACTTGCGCATTACATTTAGCTATGCTAATTGGAAGGTAAAAAATTGTGGCGAAAAAAGAAGGAAGTGGACACACATTTACCTTAAAGATAAATAATACTTGTCAAAGCAATTAAAAAAGCCGTGCATCATTCATGGCGTGAAAAAACATGAAAATTATAATATATGTAATATACGTATTTGATAATTCCATATATTTCTTAGAGAGTATTAATAATTTCGATGATCTTAGAGTGTATATTACTTCTGTTGTTTTATGTTTGAATGTTTTGGCGAAGGTGAGCTGCGCGCAAAAACAAAAAAGGCATAAAAACAAACAGAAAACGCAAAGCGAATAATTGGAAGAGCCCACGATTCTTCTAGCAGACCTTAGAGGCCAAGAAGCCCCGAAAATAAAGAAAACTGTTAAAGATAACTGCGCTTTATTTGCGCCCACTTTGTGTATATGTATCTCATTTTTACAGATTGTCTGCGGTGGGGCATGACCGCATGCAAAACAAAGTCAGGTACGAAAATTGAGATATTTCCACCTTTATTCGGCTGCCAATGGCAAATGCCAGGCGTATCGTTATTAATATTTCTTTGCTTGTTTACCTATGCATTTGTCGGGTTAATCTCCCTCGAAACACCTCAAATAAGTGATCGAAATTCGGTCTTAGCATTGAATTCCCATGAGACGTTTCTTATCGCCCTAAGTAGCACTATTGGTTATCAGCAAGGGAAAACAGAGCGATAGAACTAAACAAACAGAGAATTCTAGTTCGTGTCGATCGATAAGCGGAGAGCAACTGTAGTTCTAACAGTGCTCATGACTCATTCAATTTGGCAAAGAATAAATATACCATTATCTAATGTTCTGGGACCGATAAGCGTTGTGAGTGTTTTTTATGTACGGAAATTCCTCTTGCGCACCCAATAATCTGACCACGACTGTGTCGATTAGCCCACAGGTAGTAGGGAGTGCAAAAAGGGGTTGCAAAAACCAGTAAGTCGGTCTTGGACTTGTCAGCCTGCAGCTGCCAAGGTGGCAAGGACAAGGGGACGAAAATGTGACTCAACCAGAAGTTGAGTCAACAACAACACTCGGGGCAAGGAAACATTAAGGTTGGGGTTACGGAAATGCAGCCAAAAATGGCGATCAAAACCAAAAAAAAAACCAAAGGTTCGTTAGTACATTGTAAGATTCCTGTATTCTTATTGGTTAACCATCAATACGTTCTAAAAATATCTTATCTTGCCTAAAAGTTCAATGTATCAATGTTTTTGATATTTCTTTTGATATTCAATCGATGATATAAACAATTAAATTAATAAAGTCCTTGACATACATCTTGAAAGCTAAATGTCGCCTTGATAAGAAACACTAACGACAAGATTGAAAAACCCATACAAAATAAGAGTTCTGATCTGATCTGATGTGTATGTAGGGATGTATTTTTATTATTAAGACAAAATGTATAAAGCTCTTAAAAAAGAAAAAATGTATGATTACAGACACTGAACTGATAACTTAACTTGATGGAATTTTTTAATTTGTTAATCAAAAACAAAACATAATCATGCTAAGTATAGTAAACAGAATTCATTCTATAGCTGTTGAAAATCAGATAAGATACTTCTTTCTAATAGGAATACCTTTTTAAAACCAAAATGCCTAATAAGAAAAGCCTGAGTTCTCTTAAGACACCCTTATATGTGGGTATTACCAACAACACATTTGTAAGCATACATAAATATCTATTAATCTTAGTCTAAGCACTTACTTCTCATCGAGATCAAGGGGCAACCTCTTGAGCTCCGACATGTCCAGCTCTAGTCGCAGATTGGAGACCTCGCACAGAAGGCGATCGCGTTCCAGGCTCAACTCCTTGATTTTGGCATGTAGGGCATTGTTCTCCCTGAGCAGCTCGTCCACATTGTAGGGGATCTGGATCGTATGTTGATGGGGCATACCGATCGAGAGGGGCAGGGAAACGGGTCCTGGTACAGGTACACCTACACCCACACCCCCGCCACCGCCCCCGCCCACCGGATTCTCCACGAACATCATGGAACTGGCCATCAGAAGCGATTGTGTGGTCTGATGAAGCAGCAATTCCTGATCGCCATCCGAATTCTGCGATAGATTCTTCAGATCGGCCTCGGACATTATTCTGCAGCCTTTGTTTATAACTTTTAGCGGGGATCGGTTGCACTTTGTGTATTTTTATGGCCAAAACATTATAGCCCGGCCACGCACACGCACTCGCGCGAATGAGGGAGGCGGAGGAGAAGGTGATAAAGCGGTGGAAACAGGCAGGGCAACTTTGAATCTCACAATAAAGAACTGAAAATGCAGCTTGCTGCGAGCCAAAAATCTCGCTTGTACTTAATAATGCCCTTGGATTGGGATTCTTATTCGGATTCTTCGTTCTTCTCTGCTCTCTTTAGGCACTAACAAAATGAATCGCGAGCAACAATTGGATCTGGGGAATACGGATTCGCGGAAATTTACGGATTTTCAATTCACGCGCGACGAAAACGCGACGCACTTTTTTGTTCGACGTTTGGAAACAGTGTGACCGTGCTGGGGGCGCCGCAACATACCAGCAGTGGGGCCGCAGTTCAGATCCGCCAAAATACTCTTTGGTATTTAGAAATACCATATGTAGTATATAGCCCGCCAATTTGAATAATTAACCTTTTTTATATATATTTTATTTTATCTTACTGTGACATTTATAGCATCCAAATTAATTTTACAAATTTCATAATAATCCACTTTCTTTTTCTAATGTCTCTAAGAATTTAGTAAAACTAAAAAATAAATAAACAATAAATTAAAAATTAATTGGAAATGTGCACCGTTTCTTATTTTCCATTCCTGGTTGATCTAGTTCACTCGTAAAATATTCCCTAAATATTTACCAAAACAAGCCGGCATGGAATGTTCGATTCTAACGACTATTCTTATAACAGGACCACCAGGTAATATTATAGTCAACCATAAATATATGTGATTAATAATCAGTGATTATATTTTCAGGAGTGGGCAAAAGCACTCTGATCCGCAAGATTTGCTCGAATCTGCGGGATAAAGGACACCTCCTCCAAGGCTTCTATACGGAGGAAGTGCGAGGTGAGGGAATTAGCCAAAGAATCGGATTCGATGTGGTCACGTTGGCGGGAAAACGGGGAATCCTGGCCCGAGAGAATCCAGAAGACAAGCTACGACGGCCCAAAGTGGGCAAGTATTCAGTGTTTGTCCAAAACTTCGAGGATCTTGCCTTGCCACTGTTGGATTTCAAGGACTCGCAGCCAGAGCCGCATCTTCTAGTCATTGATGAGGTGGGCAAAATGGAGCTGTTTAGCAAGCGTTTCGAGGCGGCCATGGTTGATCTTCTAAAGAAAAAAAGACCCTTATTGGTGGAACAGCTGAGGAAAATCCCAACTTCCATTCTCTACCAGGTGACCAAATCCAATAGGAATATTTTGGCAGGCGAAATTACAGATCTCATTACAAAGTCCTTGGTTGTAACAAAATAAACTTGTTGGTCTTTTTATTAGTGGCTAGGTGTATAAGACTTAAGCTCCCATTCCTCCGCCTTTGGGAGGTCTTCATATGCTACGCGTCCACGGAGGAAATGGAATTCATAGCAGGTGGAGGCATGGATGAAGACAGTGACTGGGACTCGCTTTTCCGGGTGGATCGCTTGCGTACACGCTTCGTTTCCCTGGCCCAGTCCATTTCGTTGTAGTGCTGCTCGGAGGCGGTCCAGTGGTACTCCTGCCGGCTCACCAGTTCCGGATACTTTTGCTCGAACTCCTTATCTGGCGGCAGCAGCAGCTCCCAGCGTTTTGTGGTGTTCACACGGGCCACAGTCTTCAGAACGTCTAGCGTTTCCGCCGGTGGCAACTGGGTGGCGGCCATTACCTGGGTTCGAAACAGGTAGGGCGTGCGGGAGAAACGGAAGAGCTGGGGAAGAAATTAAAGCCATTAGTATGGAATGTATGGTTCTACTAATCACATGCACTTACTATATAATCTCTGGCGCGAATCATTTGCTCAGCGGACACTCCGTTGGCATGGGATAGCACCTTCTCGGGAAATACCACCTCGGATCGTGGTACCCAATTGCCGTGCAGCAGGATGCCCACCTGGGGCAGCAAGGCCACCACCTTGTCGGCCGCCACATGCGGATCCACGTGCTCCGTGAGTATGTCCATCAGGTCGCTAAAGGAGAGCATCCGGGCATCCCGCAAGAGCACTGTAAGCTGTTCCAGCAGCGGCATGGTTTTGAGCATGGCCTTGTTGTAGACAGGAAGGACTTGAGCAGCAGCCGTAGCGGCAGCTGTGGGCGCAACTGGCTGCACATGGTCATCGTAGGGCAAAAGCTTTCGCAGATAATCGCCGGGGCCCAGGGCCAAGGACGAACTGCCCTGATGACTGGTGGCGAAGAGTTTCTGACGCTCCAGCTCGGCGGTGGGCGTGCCCCTCGAGTGCCAGTAGGCCTCGCACCAAGGCTCATCGGCGATCCTTTGGACGAAACCATCATAGGTGCCGGCACGTTGCTCTTTGCCACTGTTTTTGGCACTACCACGCGCGAACTTGACCGTGACCTGTTGCAGCACCTCGTCCTCGTCCGTGTCCTCCGTCTGGGCCTTCTGTTCCGCCTTCTTGCGCTTGTCATCCTTATCAAAATGGCTGAGAGCAGGACGCATTTGGACTATGGAAGTGAGGGGTGACAGATGGACCTCGCGATCCGTAAAGATGCCCACTATGTACTTGGCTACATCGGTTATAGATCGCGAGCTGGTGAAGGCCTGTTTATCCATTATGCCACGTTTGTAGGTGGGTCGTTCTTGACCCTTTGGGGGCACCGCTCCGTAGGTGTTTTTGCCATCGGCGGCCACCGCGAACTGTTCGCCCTTGAAGCGATCGAAGTGGGAGGAATCAATATCCAGGCCGAAGTCCACCTTCACCTCCTGGGCGATGGGTTTTACACAGCAATTGACAATCACGGAGTCATCGTGGTTCGGGAGCTCCGTTTTCGTGGGGTATTGGAACAGGTACAAGCTGTCCTGCAAATTCTTCGACAGGAACACGGGTATCTGCCGGGGAACGGAGGTGGGTTTATGGATGGGATCGATGATGCCACTCCCCTACTCACCTCCTCCACCACTGGGTCGTCCTCGTCGTCCATTATTATTTTAAATTCGGATGGATTTGTCTGCCTCACGGTGCACGCCTAAATGGTCTGTGGCATTTTACAACACTGGCCTTTCCCTTTCTGTCGCCACTAGCCAACACTTCAACAGCTGATTGGCACAGTGGGATAAATAGGTAGGCAATGAGACTAATTCGAACAAGAAATAAAATAAAAGTCCCTAAGTAAAATATAAAAAATATTTAATTTTATTACTTTTTAATGAGTGACGAAAAAATAATGAATTTAAATATATTAGTTCTCGTCTTAATAATATTTAAACGCCATATTAACTTAGTTAAATGTGTTAAAAGGAAGAACAAATATTGTATATATTTTAATAAAAAAAAAAAAATTTAAAAAACCAAACACCAATCCGAGCCACTGTGCAAAGACAAAGTGCAAATCAATTTTCCCTAAACCGATTGGCGATACCGATTTGTAATCGCCCACGACGCCCGGGAAAATGTCTCGACCGACCGCAACATTAAACACATATATTATATATGTATAGTCTATGTGCTCTTGGCCCGATGCATACATAACCCGATCATGTTCACGGTCACGTCGGAAATCTACGGCGAGAACAATTACCAGACGACCCGCGATGGCGGCAAGGTGGTGTCCAAGTTCCGATTCGTCTATCCGGAGGAGAAGCTGGCGAGGATTACGGCGGATAAGGATGGTGACCTTGAGGTGCCGCGGCCACGACGTGGCGTGATCGAATTGGAACATTCCGAGGCCACGGAGCTGCGCTTGGTGGGCTTGCAGGTGTGGCGTGGAGCCCTTCTCCTGGCGGATTACCTCTTCTCCAAGAAAGATGAGTTCTCTGGCAAAACCCTCATGGAACTGGGAGCTGGTGTGGGCCTAACTAGTATAGCGGCGGGTATACACAATCCCGGAAGGATCTACTGCACGGATGTGGATCTTGGCTGCATACTAAAGTTGATCCGTGGCAATGTCCAAAGGAATTCCAAACTGCTCAGTGGAAAAATCTCAGTTCTGGAGTTTGATTTCCTTGCCCCAAAGGAAGAGCAATCTCAGGATCTTCTAGAAGCGATAGACAACAGTGATATTATATTAGCTGCCGATGTTATCTATAGTGATACCCTAACCGATGCCTTCATCTCTGTGGTGGATAATCTCCTGGAGCGGGGTCGCCAAACAGGTAGACCCAAAACCATTTACATGGCTTTGGAGAAGCGATATGTGTTCACCCTGGCGGATTTTGATTCGGTGGCTCCCATGTACGAATACCTCATCCGGCAGACGGTTAATAAGCCATGGATTATGGAACACCTTCCGCTAGATTTCCCTCAGTATTTCGAGTACGATCGATGCAAGGAACTGATTCTGATCAAGATCACCAGTCGTTAGTGGAAAGCAACAAAAAAGACGTTCGTCGTTTTAGATTCAATTGATACCTTAGTGTACCTTACTAACTTAGTTAAATTTTGTAACGTTAGGTTGGGATATTACTTGAATTAAACTGATAATGTTATGTTGGGATTATAAAAACGTGTTTATTTATGATAGTTTTTGTACTTGCACCAAGTAATTAGAAGACTAACAAAAGTAAGTACAAAAACCGTGTCTTTAAAAAGTGCATGATCTCGCATCTAAGATTAGTCAACAATGTCTGCTCAAATGAATAATGACCCAATGGAATAAATACAACTAAACTAAGCCCTGAACCCGTGAAAAATCAGCAGCGATTGTTTCGGATCAGAGATCCTGCATGGCCAGAATGATGTTCTCCAAGGCCTGTCGGGCGTCGGTTGCCGGAAAATGTTGAAGAACAGCCAGAGCAGCAGCCGTGTGCTTTCGCTGCAGTTCCTTGGTTTTGACCAACGCCGGTCCCGCTAGGATTGCCTTGTGGATCTTGTCGTAGTCGATGTTATCCACCGACTGCTTGCCAGCCTCCAGTTGGGCATACATCCCGGGATCGTGCTCCAAATGGAAGAGAACTGGAGCGCTGACTAGACTGAAAGTCACATCCAGCGGGAGCTGCGGACACTGGAAGGGTTCGGCATCCAAGCAAGCCTGCCAAGCCAGCGCCAAATGTTTGCCAAAGCGATAAGCATGCCGCTGCAGTTCCTCACTCTGTCCAGCCAACTTTAAGGAAGCTTGACAGGATTTGCCCAGCAGACTACCGGCATTCAGAATGTTACGGCACTCCCACTCCTCCTCGGGATTTCCAAGAACCTGAGCAATCGGCATTGGGGTCATCACATCGTGCTCGTTGAAGTCCACTCCAACGCTAAGAGAAGGCCGCTGGAAGGTTCCTGGCTTGTAGGGCAAAGGATTGTTCTGCTCATCCCGCTCGCCAATGAATTCCGATTCAGAGAAGTCGCGCACTGCCGACGAAATCAGCTCCACCACCTCCTGGTTGCGCAGATTGGCCAGCTCCGCACTGGAATGGCCCAGCAGGTAGTCGCCGGTCAGCAGGCCGATCTTGTTGCCAAAGGACATGTCGTCGTAGGTGGCCACATCCTGGCCAGCCTGTGTGCTCGATTGCAAGTTGACCACGCTCTAAAAGGAGAAAACAATTAATTAAAGCAATTCTATCAGATGTCTTAGCTCTAAAAATGTTGTTAGCTCACAGTTCCGTCAAATAAATTGATGGAAAGTTATAGGCACCTTGCTTGGCTTGTAAGCCGTGAAACTGATTAGCATAAAAAGACGCTAACAACAAGACACTAGCCCCTTCCGAATGGTTTCTTTATGAGTCACATTCGAATTTAATTTTCTACCAAAAATTAAACTTACATTGTGCACCAGATGCGAGATCCTAATCATTTCGGTGACCTCAGCCAGAGCTCTTTGTGAGTGGAGCACTCCGGCACTCTTGTCCTGCTCAACATCCGGAACACTGGGTGCATGTCCCGCCGCCTTGGACACCAGGAGCACTATCAATCCCCAAGCTTGCATCGTGTTTTTGCCATTGTAGAGAAGGTGCCTGAAAAGGAGAGATTTTGGTTAATAATATATACTAATATTTGCTTTAGGATCCCAGAACCTGGTTTTTAGGACCACTTACTTGGCCGTCTTCATCAGCGGATGGGCGCTGCCCACCAGTTTGCGCAGGTGCAGCGCCACATTGGCGATCTCGTCGCTGAGCAGCCAGCGCAGGCTCAGGAAGGACGTGGGATAGCCGACGATCCGCTCCGCCTCGCTGACCGCCCTGTTCCAGTCGTGCCGCGGGGGCGGGGTCGTCGCCTGTGGACTGGAATGCTTTCCACTGGCCGTCGTCGTTGAAGTCCAACGGTGCTGTTGTTGTTGCTGTCGCTGGAAAGTGAAAGTTTGCAGCGCAGGCGCAACTTGGGCGCTCTGAAATCCCTGAATCTCGGCGGGAATCCTTCGTCGCAACTGTTGCATAATCCTTAACCCACTGGCGCGGTACATGGCTGTCTTCTATTTGTTGGCTGTCGCTATTATTTCCAATTGCTGCTGGGAAAATCGCGCTTTTAGCTCCGCTCCGTTGAATCGACCGTCGAAAAGTGAAATCTTCGAGGTTCGCGTTCGCTGCTTGCGTCGCAGTCGGCTTCACCTGCCGCCTCCTCTTCTTCTTCGCGGGCGTCCCACTTTTACAGTTGGTCGCTCCGCCGCTCTCAGTTGGCCGCCAAGCGTTCTGTTGTTTGTTTTTATTGCCGCACGCAGTCTCATGGAACTTCCAGGGGGGCGGTGGGGTGGTTTTACTACGGCCTTTAGCGGGAACAGGTTTTTCGCCCGCCTGGGCATTAGAGATGGCACAACACCGATAAATTAATGTATTAACCCTTGTGAAAACATCGATCTTACAGCGGCTTTTCGCTAGATGTGCCAGCTCTGACTGTCGTTAGATATATCGATTGCACAAACGGTCTCACTAAAATCTCAGGAAAGTGTCCTCGCTAAGCCGTGTCACCCTCCGCAGTTTTTGGAGACTTCCTTTAATTCAATGAAATTATATTATTTATTTAAATATCCCTTTTTTCAACTTAATGAATTTTTAAATTTAAATTTCGACACTGTCAAGGGTATCTGATCTTGTGGACCGTGTAAAATACTTTCGGCCCTTTTTTTATGGTTTGAACAATAAAAATTAGAAATACTTATAAAAATACTAAAAATAAATTGGAGAAATTTACTTATTTTTAAACCATGGTTTTTGTCCAACAATTCTATTCACAAATTCACCACTATTCGAGTCCTTGCTAACTATCGATAAATTGGTTTGAGTCGTAAATATAGTTCTCCAAAATTTGATAATTATATTTAAGACTCAAACCGTGGTTGGTTCCCAGGCAATACCATTTGGTATGTTTAGAGTGACCGTTTGTGGCGAGGAAAAAAGAACTAATCAGTTGTTGCGAATTGTTATAAAAATCGATCGTATCGCAGATTTTTCCGTATCTGAATGCGAAAGAGAAAGTGGCACAAAATGTAAAAAAATCGAGCGAAAACTAGATCGGTAAATTCCAAGAACACCGAAAACATAGAACTAAACGTGAAAGAAATGATGATCGAAAAATGCAAATGCAAAAGCGAATGCCCGAGAAGTGAAGAGGTGTGCGTGTGCTATATGTGTGTGTGTGAAAGAAGAGCTGCAACAAATTAAATATAAATAATAGTGCCCAAGTGCCGTTGTATGACCAATAATTGTGGCGCAAAATGATTAAATGGCATTTAAGCCGTGTTTAAACATTTGCAGGCGGAAATGTTTAATAGTTTTTAATTGCTCTAGCGGTCGCTGCCCCGACGCTGTGTGTGTGTGTGAGTGCGTATGTGCAAGAGAGAAAGAGGAGGAGGAGGAGAAGAAGAAGAGGAGAGTGTACAAAAGAGGAATATGCAACAACTGTGCGATTTTAGTTATCGGTGGCATTTTTTTTCGGCTATTTCGAGTGGCCGCAAGTCAAAATCAGAAAAACTGATGTGTACACACACATTACTGCCCAGAAACCGAGAAAACGGAGCGAAAGGAAAACTACGAAAGTGGTTGCTCTGCCATGTAGGTGTATGTTTGTTGGCTTGTGTGCGCCTCAGTGCCGTGCGAGAGGAATGCTGCCTGTCTATGTATCACGTTTCGCACAGAGTGTCTGTCGGTGTGTGTGAGTGAGTGTCTGGTCTGTGCAGTGTTGTATAGTGCATAAATTATGGAATTTCGGATTTCTTTCGAGTTTCGTTTTAGTTTTAGTTTCTGATTTTTCCCTTAATCGATCTGTGTGCTCTCTCTCGCTCTCTCGAAAAGGTTGCATCCCCAAGAGATGCACAAAGAGCGAGAGAGATAAACAGACGCCGCCGCCACTAATGCACACGCACACCAGTGCAAATGCAGTTAGCTGGTAAAACTTGTTTTCTCCCTCTCTCTCTCGCCGCGCTCTCGGCTAAAAAAGAGCAAAAGCCGCTATTCGTATTCGGCAGCCGCTGCCGCTACTCGCACTCGCTCCTCTCCTCTACTCTCTCCTGCTGCTGCTGCTGGCTGCTCCTCTCTCGCTACTCGCCAACTGCCTATATACCATATATATGGCCGATTCAAAGCTAGGCGAGCAAAATTTCCATTGTGTGTGGCGGCCAGCGTTCGCAGTCGGTTCGAAAATTTCTGACTCGTCATTCGTGCGCAAAAAACACAAAATACAACGCAAGGCGTACAAGCCTGAGTAATAGATTAAATATAAATGTATTTTTAAGTACTGTTATTTTTCAAAGAAAAAAAAACTTTAATAAGAACCGCTAACTCTCGGATTTTCGTGTGTTTGTGTGCGCGCCAGTGTATGTGCTTGTGCCAGCCTATTACTCATCTCTTTTTGCGCTGTAAAAAATTAAATTTTCCCTTTGGAAACACATAAATTAGTTCGGTTTAAGTTCTCGAATACAGCCGAAAAACTCTTACCTATTTTACTTTTTGTCTACATCAACGATTAACGAAAAATCCAACGACTTTCATCGTCGTTTGTGTGTTTCTAGAAGTAAATGTGTGTGTGTGTGTAAGTGTGCGTGTGTATACTCGCTGCCTTCGGATGAAAAAAGTCAATTTCTGAGTCGCTCTCTCTCGCGGCGGCTCTCTTCAGCATGAATGAAACAGCGAATGAACGAACCCTTGTAAATGTGTGCGTGTGTGTGCATGAGTGTAGCAACAAATAAGCAGGGGAAAAACAATAAGAAAATTAACTAATAAATGCAGTTATTTCGAAATCATAAACATGATCATATAAAACGCAAAAAGAGTGAAGAGGCCTAATAGTTTCTGTATTCCAGCTATAACCCACAACAACAGCAGCATGCATAATTCTACAGTATGTGTGTTTCATTGCCAAAGCAACGTTTACGTTTAAAACCTCTCGCCAGAGAGCAAATAAATACAAAATACACATAAATAAATAAATAAATCAAATCAAAACCAAACAACCAAACATCAAATAGCAAATTACAAACAAAATTCAGCAACAGCAGCAACAACAACAACAACAAAATATCGAAAGCAAAGAAACGAGACGAAAGAGAGAGCTCTTCAATATTTGTGTATCCGTGTGTGTCGTCTCTCTCGCTCTCTCTCTCTCCCTCGCGTGTGTCTCCGTGCCTATACCTTTGTGTGTCTGTGTGCGTGCAGCAGAATCAATAATAAAAAATAAAAATCCAAAAAAATAAAAATTAAGCAAATGTGCAAAATACTCGAGTATATCGAAATCAACAAAAAATAACAACACATCACACCGGATAAATAACAATAATAGCAATACACTATAGGCAACAAAGTTGAGAAAATGAGGTGCTGCTGCTGTGCGAAGAAAACAAGCCAAGAACTATGACGCATCAAAATCATCAGACAAACGGCGCAAGTTTGGAGGATTGCCACACAAACTTTTATGCCTTGGTGAGTAGTAGTTGTTTTTTTTGCTTTTGCAATTGTTTTTATTTTTCGCAGTGAGGTTGTTTTTTTTTTTCTTTTTCACTAGAAGATCTAGGTCAGTGAGGACGCAGAGGGGGTGCTCTGCGAAGGGGGGCTTATTGGCTTGCGGGGGTGTGTCACCCACACAGAGGCAAAACTGAACCACCGATCATGGGATCCAATCTCTCTCGCGCCATCTTTCTCTCTTCGTCTTATCGATTGGCAGCTAAAGCGAAGACGCCGCCGGTCAGCCACAGCTGTTTATCGTTATCGCCGCAGATGCTTCGCGAAGAACCAGAAAACAGTTTTGATAACTATAGTCATAGCAAAAAAATCTTTCGAATCAGGTTTTAATCTTTTTCCAATAGTAGTCGTCTTTATTTCATTATTATAGGCAATACCTCTTTTAGAAATTTAACCTAAACTTATTGAACTGGGACTTTAACAGTAGACCTTGGATATATTATACTTACATATCAATTTATTTATTAATGGATTTATAAGGGTTGTACTGCTTTTCCATGAAAGTTAAAATTCCGAGAGATCGAGTTGATCAATGAGTCAATAAGAATATAGTTGGAAGGGCAATGTTTTTGAATGTGAATTAGTCATTTCTGAAAGTAAATGCTTTTATATGGCCGCGGAACTATAATTTAAATTTGAATGAATGTGTTTTTTTAAAGCTCATTTATTTAATAAACAATTTGTAATTATAAAGATGAGAATTAGGCATATATCAAGCATTAATCATGTATAGCAGTTAAAAGATACTTTTTATTCTTGAATTTCATTCTTAGATACTTTCTGTTGTTAAAATTCGGGATGTTTTCTTACATTTTAAGAATAGATTCAAAGATTCTATGTATTTTATCCAACATAGATTGAAAGATACTTGTCCCACCTAGACACCTGTAGTTGGAAGTGATAGTTTTCGGGTATCCACTGTATTGTAGTAGTGAAAACGGGTGTCTTTGTGGCAACCTGGCGACTGTTGCTCTGTGACTTTGTGGGTTGTGTGACTGCGGCTCGGTGACTTTGTGGCCCATAACAGGTTCTCCTCCCCGAGTCTCAAAAGTCGAGTCTAAAAACTCAAGACCCGCGACTGAGGACTGAAGACTGAAAACGGGGGACTACGTACGACTAGTTTGTTGGCCTCGCTAGTGATTGTTGCTATTGTCTCCTCTCTTTGGCATATTTCTTTAATGAATCTCATGGCGGCGGAAGGGGAGATGGGAGAAATGCGAGACGACACAGAAGCCGAAAAAAAAGACACGGGAAAAGCCGAATGAAATAGTCAAAAAGAAGAGGCGATGACGACGACAATGCGTACAAGTCAACGTGCTCCACTTCCCCCGCTCTCTTTATCCCGCTCTCCACTTACAACTCTCTTGTAGAGTTTGGAGCAGAGCTGCCCGAAGGGAAGAGGAAAGGAGAGGAGAGGCGGTGGAGCGGGTCGACGCCAACGAAATAACGAAACAATAACAAACGCGCCAAACTTTCTCTGAGCGCGCGAGAGAGCAAGGCGACAGAGCGAGACGGCGAAAGAGAGGGAGATAGAGAGCAGTTTGAACTTGAGAGGCACGCGCGCGTGAACAAATACAAATGCAAACACAAGCAAAAAGCATGTCGGAATGATAACAGCAAAAGAGAGGGACATACGCTCTCGTTCTCTCTCGATGAAGGATTGCAAAAAGTGAGAGGGAGAAAGATAGTCAGTGGGCAGATAAAAGATAGAAAAAATCAACCTACGAGATAGCTGCTCGCCCAAAAATAAAAGCCAAACCGAAGCGACACGAAGAAAAAGCAGCGAGACAAAATGAGAGCGAAAATGAAAACACACACAAAAATGGCAAAAACGAAGAGCCCAAGCAGCGGCAGCGGAAGAATGTGGAACATTTTTGTCGTCAAGACAAGACGGTAGAGGAAAGAGAGGACTTGGGAAACGGGGAGAATGGCCGGTTTGGGGGAATACCTTTGGGTGTGCTTGTGTGCGTAAGCGACCGCCGCCCGTGTGTGTGTGCTTGAAGGTGCAGTTATTTATTTTGGCCCCATCTCGCTTTGCCCCATTGATTTAGCACCGCTCGCTTGCTTTCCCACTCGCCACTTGCCACACCAGCAACTTGTTTCCAATTTCCACAATTGTTACCATCTTAAAACCTCCATAAGACGAGTTTCCCTGAGTCAAAATGTGTACAAATTGGAGGAGAGTTATAATTTGTTAAAATACACAAGTCTTTCAATTTTAACAACAGTTGATTGGGAATTTGATTTGATTTCTTTCTTTCTTTGATTTCTAGGCTAAGACATTTATACTATAGTTAATGAAGCATTTTTTGATTTTTCTTATCTCAACTTGATTTATTTTGTTTGGGGTTACGGTTCTATAAGCTAAATAATAGTGGTCACGGTTATAAAATGTTTAATTTCAGTTTGAGGTTTTGGTTATGGCCTGATTTTCTGAGTATGTATCAGCTTAAATTTGAAGTTAAAGTATTTGCGGTTGGGAAATCTGCATACACAGTGACACTTAGTATTTAAAGTTAAGTGGGTACATTATCCCATGTAACAGATGCCGTCTTTCGGTGGAATTTTCGAGTTTTATGTGGAAGCTTCGAGTTTTTCTTGTGGAATTGGGGACTGTTGTATAAAACCAACGCAACTCTGCAACGGAAGCCGCCAATGACGACCCCAAATGGCTAAAAAAGCTAAAAAGCCAACGAGCCCAGTTAGTCAGTCACTCATTCTTCTTTTTCTCCGTGCTTCTCTCTCATTTTCGCTTTTTGTTTCTTCTTCGGTGCCCCCAAGTTTTTCTTGTCTCTGCTGCAGCTCCTCTTCCGCTCCACCTTTCCGCCTCCCCCTCCTACCTCCCACCCTCTTTGCCGTTTTTTTTTCGTGCTTTTGTTTTGAGTTGCGAGGCAGCGGAAGATTTTTTGAGCTTCGCTTTGGTCGTTTTTATGCTTTGCTTGTTGTTTTTACTGTTTTTTGCTGCTGCCAAGTGCAATGAGGAATGTATTTTTACATGTGTCTGCGTGCGATTCGCAAGATTTCGCAACACTGGTAAATTAGTGGGCAACAATTCAAGATGATTATCGTTTTTGCATAGATTGAAATGCACTCAGGAAAAATCCTGTGCCTCAAAGTAACCAAATTTGTACAAGTAAAATGCTTTTAAAGTATAAGAAGATAAATGAAACGTAATCATGATTTCCACAAAAATATTTAACAGCCTAAGCTACCATTTGTTGCTTTATTTTTCCATCGCTTAGTATTCAGTAGGAATTCTCAAGATCGTGACAAAATCAGATATTAGTAATTCAACCTAACGTCATCGTTCGATTTTGTACTTTATACGGGATCCATCCGATAAACACTCATTTAATACCTCACCGAGTCAAGAAGGTGATGTGTACTTTATTTTTACATTTGAAAAGAATTTGTCCAAGTATAACTGCAAAGTTAGGATTTCGCAAACTATTGCAAATTATTGTGAAACGCCATGAATTCACCTTGCATTCTATAATATAACATCTAACTGTAATATAACATATCATAATGGAACCGGTTTAATAGGTCAATGAATTCTATTTTAATTGCACTTCTGACTTTTTTAAAATACTTTGCAGGGGATATTAAGTAATTTATAAGAATCTTGAAATGATCTTAAAGAATGACGGTTTGTTAGAACTATTTAAAAAAAGCCCCATTAAGAAGATTAATGCTTATCTTCGGATGGCAATCCAAAGAATGTCGTATGTGTATAATTAAAAATCCTATTTTTGTAAAGTTTATTTTAACTTTTTGTAAGATTCTTTCTTCTAACAGCTGAAATAACAATTCTTGAATTAAAATTCTGCTATTTTCCGTACGTCATTTATAAAAAGAACGTGTAGACATAGAACTTTCGTCACGGCGGGGTAAACAAATGATAGGAACTTCCTTATAGATAAAGATAGTGTAGTAGTACTAAGTAGTTATCAGTTGAGTGTATTACAGAACCTATTTAACCTTAAGTCTGGCCACCATTACTTGCTTAAATACGCATTAGTGACTAATTCTGTATTAACTCTCTTATTGCAGACTGATTTATGTGGAATAAAATGGCGGAAGTTCGTTAACGGGGAGCGACCGAACGCATCCAGCGATCCTTTGGCGGACCCGATCCTGCGCTCCTATTCGCGATGCATCCAGGCGGACATGCTGTGCGTGTGGAGGAGGGTCCAATCCACGAAGACGGACAACGCCGACCCGAATGCCTTAACCTTCGAGATCACCACCTCGACCAAGGTCCACCCGCCCCTTTCGCTGGCCGCCGCCAAGGAGCTATGGATCTTCTGGTACGGCGAGGAGCCCGATCTCACTGAACTGGTCGATGCCGAGCTGCTCCGAGTTGCGGGTGAGTTTCTTTTTATCCCTAAAAAGATCTGTGGAACCAAAATATCTTTGTTCGCTGTGGTTGAACTTTTCCTGATAACGTTGGTTTTTTAGTTAGGACTGGATTCCTGATATATGGAAGATCAGACATTGTCCTTATCTGCATAAATATCCTTTGGTCGTGAAAAAGTCATGTAAAGAACTTACAACTCTTTTGAAAAGACTTCTAAAAAAGGGAACAATTCCAAAATAATTAAATATAGCAACCTTTTTTTTTTGTAACAGAATATCTTCCTATTTCCATTAATTATTTATAATCAGAACTCAAAAATGCAAAATTTCTTATCAGGAGAGGATATATTTTACAGTATGAATTAATTTGCATCTTTAAATTAACACTTCATAAACACTAAAAACCAAATAAAGTTGTTCGCTAAAAAACTTAAATTGGTAAACAGTTTAAAATAGAAGTGTTACATTTAAGATCGATTGTAATAATTTCTCCTCCTCTCTTTTACTCCCACACACACACTCATTCATGCTCACGCACACTTGCAACTGGGTGATGAATTTAATAAAGCTTCAAGGCCGCATCCATCGCATGCAATTGCAACAACAAATTTTCGCCATCTCTTTTGCGTGTGTGTGTGGGTGTATCTGTGTGAGAAAAGCCAAAACAAATGCGACACACAAACAAACAAACAAACAGAGAAGCACGCGAAATACATTTCGATTGCGGCTGATGATGATTATTATTATTATTGCTCTCCTTGTTTTTCTCCATCTCTTGCTGTTTCGCACTCTCCCCCCTCTCCTGTTTTATTTTCCTTTGGCGTCACTCAACTCACATGGCGTCGTTTGAACCGTCAGCAACAGAAAAGAGAAAAAGTTAAGAAAAAACAGCAACAAACGTCAATCGTAGGCGGTTATCTCCTCTCTCTTCCTTTCACCCACACACAGGAAAACGCATGCCGATATTAAATGCAAACTTTTCATTTGATATTGATAACTAGGAAAGAAGGCAATGCAAGTTTTTCAAGTAATTTGTATTATTTGAAACCTTAATATTCGATTTTCTGTCTTTAATAACCTGAAGATATTAAATTGAATGATTAATAAAACCCAATAGAATTTGTTTTCCGTGCACCTAAGAAGGAAAGAGGAAGCAGTGCTAAAACGTCACCTGTCATTTGCAATGTTTTTCGCTCGCTCTCTCTTTCTCTCTATCGCTCTCTGGTAATTATGCAAACGAAGAAGAAGGGTGCTCTCGCGTTCTCCCCCTTCCTCCACTTCCCTCTCACTTGCTCTTTCGAGGGTTGTTCAATACACACTGGCCTTCGAAAGACGCTCTCTCTCTTTCGCTCGCCCACCCACCCTCTCTTCCGCACCCTGTCTCCCCTTCCTTTCTTTTCTTATCAGCCCATTGCGTGTGGCTACTATTTATTCAATATTTTTGTTATTGCCTCATTATCTCTGACCACTAACTACGTACTACGTACATTGTTCATCGTAGAATTTGAATTTCTCATATTTGGCTTTTCCGTGGCAAATTCCATTACCCAACCGCCAATCTCAAGTTGTTCGAGATTCGTAACGCCGTAGATCTATACAGATTTTCCGATATTTAATAGAACAGAATTGGCTCATCCGCAAAACTTCAGAAATTTTTAACATTTAATAGGATTTGTTTGGAAATTCTAGCCAATTATTATTAGTTTTATTCATAAGATACATCATTTAAATAAAAAGTAATTTTCAAAACACCAACTCGAAGGATTTATAGATACTAGAATTCTATACGTTTACTACAAATTTCAAAACGGAGTTTTCTATAACTTATACTATTGTTAACGTTCCACAAGTTAAAATGATTTTCAATATTTGTTTTCCAAATTTTAGTCTATATTCTAGTTCAAACCAAAAACTTTCCATCTTGCAGATGCCTTTGGAGATACAGATTCTTTTTGAAGTGCCCGACCGAGAGATACGAGATACGGAAGTTTGACTGTATCTTTCGTTATCTGCCTACGTCATTGTGGCCCACTGATTTTACAGTTAGCTTTTGCTGCCTGTTTGCTTGCGTTAACCTTTTCTTCGTTTTTTAGGCGCGCTTTTTGCCGTCTGGAATTGAGAGTTGAATGCACGTCGCTTTTGCCGCTGATGAAATTATCGCCTTGTTTCTGTTTTAGCCTTTGTCATCGTTGCAACGCCTTGTTTGATGTTATTTTTGCATTTTTTTTAATGACAAGGACATTGACTAATTGCATTGACATTACTTTGTCTCCGTCTTTTGGGCGATTTTCGTTGTCTTTTTATAGCCATTTCGGCCATAAACAACAAAAGTGGCAAAAAAAACTGTCGTTCCCATCTTGTTGGTGTGTGTGTGTGCGTGCGAGTGCGTGTGAATGAAATTCGGAAAGAGAGAAAAGAGAGAGGCGAAGAGAGAGCGCATTGTTGTTACTGTTACTGCTCCTCAGATTTGCGTGAAAACGGCAACGCCGCAAATCTCAGCCAGCCAGCACAGTGGAGCAAAAACTACCAACAGTGTGGTTTTCTGAGAATGAGGAGGGACTTTAAATTGAAATTCTGTAAGCAGAAAGATACATTACCTAAAAAAAAACATTTTTCTTTTTGAAGAGATCAAACGGACATACACGTTTTAAAATCCCAAATTTTAGGATAAATATATTAAAGTTTATATTTAAATTGAAACTAAACAATTTGAAAGACTTGACAAATTTAAGTTATACTTTTTGAAAAACTATTATTTATTCATTTAAAAACAATCATCTGTTTACAATTAATAAGAAAAATTATCGAATTCCAGACGTTGCCGAACCAATTAACATTTGAAATGTACTTTATTTATGACTACCACTGTGAACTAATTTACATTCCACTTTGTAGGGCTTTGCGCTTTTGTCTCCTTTTTTGCTGTTGGCATTTGTTGGACATTTTTGGCCATTTTTTGGACAGCAGGCGTCATGGGCAGACACGCCTACACGCTGGAGAATTCTAGTAGACCCCCAATCTCCATATATACAAGCATTATTTACCTCCCCCTCCATCACCACCCATAAAAAAAAACACTCCACACACGCTACTTGTTGTCATTGTACTTAAAGTTTGTTGTTGTATTCCGATGCCATACGATTTTTACCTTAAACAGCTGTCATTTTGTACGAGTGTGTGCGTGAGCGTGTTGGGGTCGCTGTGTGCGTGTGCTCCACAATTGGAGCCAATAATTACGTGCCTGCTCTCTGCATAAAAGAGACTGGGAGAGACTCTCTTCTTGCGATTCTTCGCTCTCAATGAGCTTAAACTGGTTTGCAAGCTTGGGCTTAATTACAATGCGCTTTCTTGCTCATTTCGTTGTTGTTGTTGCCTTTTGCATTCGTGTTTCTTACCTGCTTTTTGGTTTTGGCTTTGTTATTGCGCTTACTAAACAATTTTTCAGTGTGTGTGCGCGCAGATTATTGACCTTGATTAAACATTTGTTGCTGCCTGTTGTTCTGTGTGATGTTGTTCTTTTTTTGTGTGTCACGCAAATACAAAATGCTAAATAACGCTCTCTTAATTACACGTTACAATTGTTGTGAAATTCTCACGGCGGAGGACGATTGGAAGGGAGATGGGGGGATCTGCTGCGTTAGCGAAATGTTAACCTAAAATAGCATTGTTTTTGGGCCACAAACAAAAAGAGCAGCCAAGAGAGTGTGCGTGTGTGGGTGAACGAGAACGAGTGCACGCCTAGCGGCACTTTGTCTCCCAAACAACCACTCTCTCTTACTCGCTACTTTCCACAGAGCGACTTGCTGCCACCTCTCTCTTTCCCAGCGAGTGAAAGAGAGGAGCAGCAACATGTGCACAAACCACACGTGCTAAAAAAAATACACCCACACAGACAGGCCTAGTGTGTGTGCGTGTGTTTGTGGAATTTGCATTGAGCAGTCGCCGTCGATTCCGATTCCCCGATTCCCGATTCCGATTCACCCGATTACGATTCCTGTTCCGAAGCTTTAAAGTTGGAAAAAAGGGGGGAAGATGCGGATATACAGCAGCTGTGATGGGATGGTGGAAATGCATGAAAAGTGGAATGACCAGTATCTTTTATCGAAAGTCAATGTAAAATTGGAAATGCAATCGAGGAATTTTATTGTTTGAAGAACTATTTTTTAATGGAATCCTTAATAGATTGTATGATGTATTCAAGTATCTACGGTTTTTTATTATTTCGTAGTCGAATAAAATGACACTGAATTGATTTTGAAATTTTTTTTTTTATTAATTTCATAAGATTAAGATTAAGATTAATAAGAGAAAAACTATTTTTTTTAGTGGTCTGTAAAATTGAAAAGATGATTTTTTCGTAATCTAATTATTTCCTTTAAAATCCTTTGGAAGATATATACATAAATATTATCAGAGCGGTTGTTAAATTTTTGTAAACATTGTATTTTGTTGCCCAAGCTTGAAGTCATTTTTAGTTCTTTGTTTTTAAATTGTTTGTTTGTCGTTCCGTTTTGTTGCGCTTCGTCTCTCGATTTTCATTTGTTTGTTTGCTGAGAGAGCGGCTGAAGCTGTAGTTGTTGTTGCTTTTGTTTTTGCTGGCCTACCCTTGTGGGCTTTTTTATTTTTATTTTTGGCGAGCTTTGAACTTTTTGCCGTTGCGTAGTGTGTCAATGTGTGTGAGTGTGACCTCAGAGAAGAAGAGAAACGAAGAAGAGCCGGCTTGCAGGATGGAAATTGGAAGTGGATGTGGGGTTGGAATGGGAAATATGGAGATGGTGGGATAATAATAGTGGTGAGGAAGAGGAGGAAGAGGAAGAGAGAGCAGGAGGCGGAGGCAGACTCTCTCACGCACTCACTCACACACACTGGCATAATCGTACATTGCCCTTTTATGTCCATGTGTTCGTGTGAGTTTTTAAGCGTCGTTGTAAAAAAAATTCACGCTGATCTCATTGAAGAGAAAAAAATAACAAAATTAGTTATTAAACGGATTCAGTTTTTTCGCTTTGTTTGTTATTTATCCGTGTTGTTTACCTTTACGTAATTATCTTTGCAACATTGCTGGCCAAAAAAGATAATCAAGAAGAAGCAGGAGAAATCAGTGCAGGCGTGGGAATTGAGGAGGAAGAGAGAAAGAGAGAGTTAACACATAAGTATGTGTGTGTATGAATGTGTGGGTGGTGGATGCTTGGAATTTTCCAAAAATTTCTAGACTGCCCTTTTTGTTTCACAAATCGTTTCCCTCCGCGCTCTTCTTCCTCTTTCTCACTCTCTCCCTTCGCTTTACTCACTGCCCTTTTCCTTTTGTTTTCAAGTGTTTGAACTTCCGCTTTGGGATTTGTATTTTGTTGCCTGGCGGCTTTTTCTCGAACTCTCCTTTTCTTCTCTTCTTACCTTGCATTTTTACATATTCCGTTGCACACAAATTTTATCTTTATCCGCTTTTCTTTTCGTTAATACCGCTCTGCGCCTCTCTCTTTAGCATTCTATCTATCTCGCTCTAAGTTTGTTTGTCATCTTTTGAAAAACAACACAAATACGAACGAAAACAAAACAATAACAAAAATGAATAGCCTTAAAAGTTTTGTTTTTGAGGCGTGCGCGCGTCGTTGACTTCTCTTTTGCGGGAAAGAGAGAGAGAGAATAGTTGGAGGGGGGAAGAAAGAGCGGTTGATTGTTTTGCGTTGTAGACGTCTCTTTTTCTTATTGTTGTAAATTCAATTTGATTTCCCCTCCACTTGTTTTTGTTTTTTGGGTATTTTCCACTTTTGCATTTCAATGAAGTCCCAAATTCTATAAGAAACTAAAGTGCCAGATAATTACCATATATTGTAATACACCCGGTACTTGAAGATCCATTGAGATCTGAGAACTTGGGAACTTTTTACTTGTGGGTTTTTAAGAAGGGATTTTCACACGCCCGTACAAATTGAGAAGACTTGTAAATACCATATAGAATGTTTGTGTTAAAATACTGGTAGTTAGAAAGATGCTGCATAAGGCTATAACCTATTGATCTTTAATATTTTATTACTATCTAAAGAGTTTACTACATGGCTAAATGACCAATGGTTATTAACACTTTCTCTAGGCCTTGTAAATGTGTTAATTAAATGCTATATTCTTTTAAAAATAGTAAACATTACAATAGATACAAAAAAGTTGTATGTATTTATTCTAACAAAGGAATTAATTTTAATCGAAAGGCCAACCAAGAAATCTAGGGGTTAAATATTCGTTTTACTTAAACTCTATTACCTTAGTCCGTATAATTATTTATTAATTTAATTTTTTTATATTTTAGCCAACCAAGCGCTTTGGAATGGCACCTGGAAAGGAGCCCTCACCTACGAGTGCCGATCGCTGCTCTTCAAGGCGCTGCACAATCTCATGGAGAGGTAAATATTTTAAAAAACTTTAAATCTAATTAAAGCTAATACTTATAACCCAATACTTATTATAGATTCGTGCTCACCAAGGACATTGTTCGATTTGGCAAATGGTTTGTGCAGCCCTGCACCTCCAGCGATCGTCTCTTTGGACGCAGGTACGTGATCTATATGTGGGGACTCCCACAGGGGAATCTATAACCCCATAGGATATAGGCCCTAATCTATGTGAAAATGCTGAAAATGTTCTCCAATTCGCAATACGGCCATATCCTAGAATAAAGAATTCAGGAACTCTGTGCAATGTCATTAAAGCTTGTGGCATTGCATCGTTCTTCCTGCGACACTTATAAACCATTTTATTTTTGTTGATAGACCTAAAAATAATAATGCGTATGTAGTTTGATTATAACATTACGAAATGGATAATAAACCATTAAACCATTCATAGGAAAAGCTATAAAGAACCATACAATTTTATGATTATTTGGTTTTTATGTTTATAGACTTCACATCCGTTAATTTATAACGTTCGCGATTATCTTATTAACTGTAAATGAAATATATTGCCTAAATAACATTTATTGAATTTTCTTATTTATAATTTCATTATTTTTTTTATTAAAGAATCAAATCTAAAATCTGAAATATCCTTTGCTAATTCTTCAATATCTTTTTCTTTCAGCTCCCAGCACTTGTCCTTCTCATTCACGTTCTTCGTTCACGGCGACACAGTTTGCGCCTCCATAGATTTGCGCGAACATCCCGCCGTACGTCCGCTGACCAAGGAGCATTTGGCCGAGGCGGCGGCTGCCTTTGCAGCGTCCAGTTCTCCGCCCGGATCAACAGGATCTGCGGCGTCAGCGGGCGGAGCAGTGCCTAATCCTGGTCAGGACGCAAATGGCGCCGGAATGGAGCCACTCGATGGCGGCGAGGGCGCAGCCAAGGCAGCGCCACCTGCGCATGCGCGCAAGGTGATGTTGGCCCCCTTCGGAATTGCGGCCATACTCACCGGCAATAGCTATAAGGCCAGCGATCCCATAGCCGAGAAGATCCTCGAGGACTGGGCCTCGTTTTTTCCGCTGTGCAATAAGGACAACTCGGATGTGCCACCCGTGGTGGAAGTGGTGTCGGGTGAGTAACCACCTAAAGATAGATTCCCTTGACTTGACCTAATCGACGTCATTTAACCCTCAGGTGGTCATAAGATGTATCATCCCACGAACTACGTACTAGTCACCGACCTGGACGACATGGAGCACATGGAGTTCGTCGAGATGCAGAAGATGCAGAGCTCAGTGGGTGGAGCGGCGGCCGAGGCAGCAGTCCTGGCCTCGCTCTCCTGCCCACCGGGCTCAGCGTCTGCCCCTCCTTCCCTGGGAGCAGCTCCTTCTGCTACAGCGATTCCCGTGGGTCCGGCTTCCCTCAACGCTCCAGGAGCAGGAGCCACCGCGTCATCCGCCGCCAAAGAGGTATCCCGCAAGGCGGCCCCCCAAGCCGTCAGCGCCCTGGAACGTCTCGCCTTCCAGCCCTACTACGATCAACGGCCCACCTCGGGCTTCACCTTCAATACCAACAATACTCACATACCCGCCTCGGCTGCCGTGGAAATGCCGGAACGCACCTGGCAGGATTGCGTGATGAACACGCTCCACGTGGATGCAGCAGCGGCGGCGGCAGCAGCAGCAGTGGCATCTTCAACACCCGCCTCGGGAACCGGAACATCTGCCGATGGCGATGAGAACGAGCAGAACAAACCGCCGCAGCAGGATTCCAAGCAACTGGTGCAGCAGCAGATTCAGCAGCAGCAGCAGCAGCAACGTCAGAAGCTCTGGAACTTTGTGGATCCCATGCAAAAGGCGCCCTGCATATGCACCAAGTGAGTTTCGTCCTTTTAGTCCTTGTTAGAGTAATTTCCCTGCTCTGTTACTTACTCTCCATATGCAAGGGTATTTATCCAATCTCTAGAGGTTTTCAAACTGTAGCTTAAGTGTTTGGTAGTTTGAGTTTGTTATTTTTATCGAGGTTCTTTAAAATTCTATGTAGCTAGGGGGCCAAAAATTATTTGAAGAAACAGAAAGATACATTTTATGTAACTTTTTTATATCATATGATTTTTTAAGAATTATTGAGACAAATTAGTAGTCATCTAAAGGTGGAATTTTTGAAGTTCTTTGGGACTCAAAGATCCTTTTTGTTTTCTTTATAACTTCAAGGTTTATTTTTAAAATGCTTTCATTTCTAGAGAATTTTGGAAATCCCTGTCTTTTTATGCGAGTGTTTTTTCTAGTTATGACCCTTGTTGCTGTCTCCATTAGAATAACCATTTCTTACATTATGCATATAAGATTGATATGATTTTGATGTAGTGGAGATGATGTTGTGCTCCCTCCAAGAACCTAAAAAACCCCTTAAAACACCAGAAACCGCTTTGATGGCATGCTTAAAAAAGAACCTTTACCTTAGCAAACATTAGGCAGTTAAAGGCGGTAGTTGACCTTCTTTTTACTGTAATCTGTGCATGCGATAGGCAATAGATTTTTTCCGTTCCTCTTTTTTTCTATACAATTTTTTCTTGAGTTACCTAACCCACACAGCAGCAGCAGCAATAAAATAAAATTAAAGCTTCAGCCAAGAGACAGAGCTACGAAAGCGAAACGTTCAAAATTGTGTTGCTTAGTGTCTAAAACCGAAAACAAAAACCAAAAAAACAAATTTCAGCGCCCAATGCAGCAGCAGCAGCAGCGGCAGCAACAGTGGCAACAGCAACAACATTAGCAATATCAGCAACAACAAGCGACAACAGCAACCGCTGGGATCGCCGGCACTGCGGGCAGCAGTCACCGGTGCCAGTGGCAATAAGTCGTCGTCGTCATCATCATCATCGTCGTCGTCTTCGTCGTCGTTGTCCTACCAGCAACATTACCACCAGCAACATCTGCAGCAGCAGCAGCAGCAACAGCGACCGGGAACACCTGTGCCGCCGGCAGCAGCAGCAGTAGCAGCAACATCGCATCATTCCAGTTCCCTGAGCAACACTTCCGCCTCCAATTCTTCCGCGACCGCCCTCCGGCGTCACAATGTGCCGTTCCACAAGCGGTTGCTCCACTCGCTGGCATCCACCGCCTCCTCCACGGCCTCCACCTTTAGAGCCAAAAACCACAGCAACACCACAACAGACACCAATATACCAAAACAAAGGTTTGTGTGTTGAGTGGAGTGAAGTGAAGTGGCGTCTGTCCATTATAGCCAGTGCTGCCTCTGTTTTAGTTTAACGCTATTCAGTTTTCTCTTTTTCATATACTAATGCGGTCAAAGTAAAAGCACGGGGGATTATAAGAGGTTTTACATATATATTTTTTAAAGAATCTATCAAAAGTAATCGAAATTTGTTAAATGTTTTAGGGATTCCGTTTGGTAATTAATTAAACTAACAGATACATAATTGGAACACCTTCTAGAACACCTTATACTGGTCAATAATTTTGTATATTAACTTCACCCTGTGTTTAAACTCCCTAAAATGTTATAAAATACATAATGATCCCTCTATGAAAACAATATATTGATTATAAAATTGTGTATAACATCTTAAAATCTAATATTTTATGTGCAGTGTAGTTTACGATTATGAAGTAAATACAAATGTCTAGAGAAAGGTATATATTCAGTGCTTTTATCTTGACCGCTTCTGTATAGACCACCCGTCCTCTTACTTTCGCTCTTTCTCCGCATTTATATATTTTTCTATCCACTCTCTTCACACGCTCTGTTAACCTTATGATTTCTTATGTTTTATAATTTTGTTGGTTGGTTTTGAGCATATAATTTCTGACCCCTAACAAAAACACTGGAATCAAAGAAAGGGGCGCATTTTAATTCACCACGCCCCCCAAAAAAAAGGAGTCAGCACACACACACAAACATTCGCGCGTGGTCATCTTGCAATAACAATTTCTAATTCTAATTCACTTAATCGTCCTTGGTAAATGGTAAATTAGCAAACATTAAAAATGAAAACAAAGCAACGCTCAAGAAACAGAAAAGACTGCAGGCAATGATATAATAACCAATTGTATAATATTTTCCATTTCGAGGACATACAACACGTTTTGTAGAATTTAACTAGCCTAGTATATACTGCCCCCCACTCTCGTCCAACCCCCCAAGCCACTCCCCCATTGCCGTTCTCATTTTCTCATGGCCCGTTTTGAAAATACTCAATACTGGATTGAGTATGAGTATCCGGTAGATACACGGTTTATAGTGTTTTGGTTTTGGTGCCGCATGCATCTTTGTTTTAATTCTTCCAGGTCTTATGCATTTTGTGGAATGATTTTGATTTATTTTGCTGGATTTCTTATTTGTAAATAACAATAGCACATATAATATAAATAATATTGGTGTTTTAGAAATCTCTCAAGTTTATAAAAAAAATAATTTGAATGTCTTAAAGGAAAGTATCTTAAATATTATCTTTTCTTAAAGACATCGAAATATTTACTTTTCCTTATAAACTAGTAAAGATATTATGAGCACATCATTAAAGTTATTTTATTTTGCAGCTGTGAAGGTTTTATTTAATATATTTAATCCCCAAACAATGGATGTGGTTTTTGTTTAATTTTGCTTATGGTTATTTTTGGGACACTTTATTGCTGGAGTATCCCAAGCAATATAATATAATATTATTTGAAATGATTAATATACACGCATACCTGTGTATCCATAGCTACATTATCCGTAGTTTGAGCATTGTACATAACCTTTCTAAAAAACGAGTCACCACTTAATCTTGCGATGTTTTAACGATAATGCTAATTATTATATTTTTACTTTCATTTTTTCACAGACATCTGGGGAACACACCTCATGGAACGCCACATGGTGGGGCCTCGACGTACTCCCGGAATTCCTTGGGTGGCGACTCCTCGATGCCGGTGGCCTCCGTTGAATCACCAGCGACACCGGCTCCCTCTCCGCATCCAAATTCGGCGCACTCGCAACCGACATCCGTGCCGCCCGCTGAGCAAGTGAGTGAAAGTGACGACCCCAAATGCAAATACCCAGGATTCTACCCAGCTTATTTCACTAACACGTGGTTCACTTTTCCCCCCACACAGCTACTCAACATGAGTCCCCATGCGCCCACTTCCGTTTCCAATCTGCAGCAGCCGCCAACGCCCATTGACCATCTGCTGGACAAGAATACACCGGCGCCGACGCCAACGGATCAGCACGATAACAAGAGCATTACGGCCTCGCCTTATGTCCATCAGACGCCCAGCGTGGAGCCGCCCTCCTACACGGATCATGCGGCCGGCGGAGGAGCAGCTGGTGGTCAATCAATGGGCACTGGACCGGGCAGTGTTCCCGCCCAGCAACCGGCCACGCCCACAGCAGCAACTTCAGCTGCAGGAGCCGGATCTGGAGGAGCTTCAAACGCAATTGGAGGATCTGCGGTGGGAACTATTAGCGTCAAGAAGCTTGAGATGCAGCAGCAGACTCCATCGGCAGCAATGGCCATCAAACAGGAGCCGGGCCTTCAAGGCCGGGGGGCAGGAAGCGTGACCACCACCACGGAGGCCATGAACAACTTGAGGCGCCTGTACAACCCGCCGAAGTTGACGTTAAAGGATCCGGACAGCTTCTACGATGACGAGTGGCTCAAGGAGGTCATCTACGACTTTCAGTACCAGGAGAACTGGTAAGGATTTCTGTTTGTCCTTTTAATTCATGGTTGAACCTCTCTTACCCTTTAAAACACCACTCTAATATCTGATTTTCCTCACCATAGGGACTATCTGACAGTGAAGCGTCCGAAGCTGGATAAGCAACGTCGGCCGAGGTATGCCAAGAACCTGTACGAGGGACACACGCACGTGAAGCCCCTGATGCCATCGCCGGGATCCGTTTATGGTTCGCAGCTGCTCTCGCTGGATGTCTCAGCCACTTCAGCGGGAGGAGGCGTCGGAGGATCAGCGGCGGGCAGTTCCAGCGGTGGATTAGTCGGCATCGCCAACAGCACAGCCAATGGTAGTGATGCGGAGGCCGATAGCGGGAGCAGCTTTTTCCAGGGCTTAGACATTAAGACAGAGCCCGGATTGCATTCCCCCTCGTGCAAGGAGACCTCAAAGTCCTCGGGCGGGGGCAACAACAGCGGTGGAGGAAGCGGTAGCGGTGGTAACCTGTTCACCGCCGAAGGTCTGAATCCCTCGCTCAACGATCTGGAGCAATTGTTTGAGACGAGCTCGAATGATGAGTGCAGCAGCGTGCAAATCCACACGCCACCCGATTCCAATAATCCCTCGAATGGCGGCTGCAGTGCTGTGACCAATACGATCGAAGACCTCAAGCGGAGCACGGCGGTGGCCAGTGCAGTGGTGGCTGCGGCAGCGGCGGCAGCAGCAGCGGCCTCGGGAGCGGGCAATATCCAGGCGGAGGATCTCACCAAGATGTTTCCCACACCTCCGTCGCACGAGCAACAGCACCCAAACTCGAGTCCCTGCCAAACGGACGTGGTCATGACGGATCTCAGTGTGGACACCACCACAACCAGTATAAACAGCAGTAGTATCACCACAACCTGCAACACCACCATTACGAGTAGTATCAACAACACCACCACCACAGGCTGTAGCAACACCAGCAGCAGTATTATCCTGGCAGCCGTACAAGCTCCCGTCACCGTGGTGGCCATCCAGACTGTTTCCAAGCTGGTGAAGCAGGAGTACAACCTGGAGTTGGGTAGCCCGGTGGAAGAGCCCATCGATGACTGGAACTATGTCTACCGACCACCGCAGCAGGAGAAGTTTGTGGGTTCCACTCGCTACGCTCCACTGACCAACCTGCCTAGCCAGACGCAACCGCCGTTAAGTTTGCCTCCGGGATGTTTTTACCAACCCACTTGGAGTAGTCATAAATCCAGAGCAGCCACGCTGGCAAAAGCTGCGGCAGCTCAGCAGCAGCAGCATCAAAAGCATCAGGCCCTTCAGCAGCGCATCCAATTGCATCAGCAGAAGTTGCAGCAGCTCCAGCACCAGCATCATCAGCAGCAACAAGCGGCGGCCGCCGCAGCAGCAGCGGCAGCGGGAGGAGTGGGCCACCAGAAGCACCAGCATCAGCATCTTCATGATCTTTTGTCAGCGGCACCAAGGACACCACTTACGCCTTCTACTGTCCCCCAACCGTTGAGCAGCGGCGGCAGTCAGCTGTTGCTGAATCAGTTAAACTGCCCGCAGGCGCCACCCGGCAGCTCCATGCAGCAACTAATGCATCGAGCGGGAATGTCCCCCATTTCACCGGGACCCGGGATGGGTCCCTATGCCGCCCGAAGTAGTCCAATGTCGAGGGCGACTCCTACGCATCCGCCACCACCATATCCCTATGACTTGGCTGTGGCCAGTCCAGCTACCTCCACATCGTCATACTTGAACCGGCCACTCCACTCGCAAGAGCATCCGCACATGCATGGAATGGGCGGTGGAGGAGCAGGAGGTGTTGGAGGTCCTGGACAAGGAGCTGGCGGACACATGGGCATGATGCCCTACACTGGCGATGCGGGCATTGCCAGTGGTGGAACAGCGATGACAGCCGGGCCCTCGAGTCTGCTCCAGGAGCTACCAGAAGTGAATTCTGTCCTGGTAAACATCCTGCTGTACGATACCGCTTTGAATGTCTTCCGGGATCACAACTTCGATAGCAGCAGTGTGTGCGTGTGCAATGCGGATACGCAAAAGATTGGCAATATTCGGGGAGCGGATTCCGGAGTATATGTACCCCTGCCTGGCATTAGCTTTAACCCGTTTCCGACTGGTGGTGGAGGAGGAGGAGGAGGAGCAGGAGGAACTGCGGCTGGACAGCGGGTGCTTAATGGACCCAGTTCCGCTGGTTTTGGCGGCATGCGGATGATCAGTGCCTTTGGGGGCTCGCCGGCCTCCGTTTCGATGCCTGGAGCTGGCTCCGGACATGGTCACGGCCCGAACGGCGGCTCCAACTCGTCATCCTGCACGCCGCCCAGCACCAATGTCCATATCACTGGCTATGTGGACGATGACCCGGTGGAGTGTACGTGTGGCTTTAGCGCAGTGGTCAATCGAAGACTATCCCACCGCGCTGGACTCTTCTACGAGGATGAGGTGGAGATCACGGGAATAGCGGATGATCCGGGTAGGAATAAGCAGCCCACGTTGCTCAGTATCATCCAGAGTCTCAGCAGGAAGAACCAGATCAAGCCGGGACCGGGAGAAACGAGTTCTGCTTTGGAGAAAATCGGAGCAGGAGGAGTGGCAAGTGGACAACTTGAACAACTGACACATGCTGTCTTTGACCTGCTATTGGATCAGTGCTCCATCATCCAGACCTCCAGTAGTTCCGTGCACAGAGCCCTTCAATCCCATCGGAGGCGAATGTCCCGTCAACGAAGGATCTTTGGCACCAATGGAGCACCCACCGCCTCGTTGGCATCAATTGCAAATGTTCTAGAGTTTATGGATGCACATGACGTGATCAGCTTGGCTCTAGAGCAGGCGAGATTGGCGTTCGAAAATCAGCGGATGGACAACATGATGGACTTTCATGGTAATGGGAGCAGTAGCTCCCATCAGCAGCAACAACTCACAGCCTTTCATGCACCACCGCCTGCGTTGCGTCATAAGCTGGCGGGAATTGGTGCTGGACGGTTGACGGTCCACAAGTGGCCGTATCTCCCCGTGGGCTTTACCCGCAGCAACAAGGAGATTGTGCGCACCATGAACGCGATACAGCCGATGCTACAGAATGCCTTCCACTGCAAGTCAAGGGGTGGATCAGGCTCCAAGGACGCCAGTTCGTATAACACAGTGAGTGGACCGCTCACCTGGCGGCAGTTCCATCGCCTGGCAGGTCGTGCATCTGGACAGTGTGAACCGCAACCCATACCTTCGGTGGTGGTGGGATACGAGAAGGATTGGATTTCGGTGGCACCTCATTCCATCCACTACTGGGATAAGTTTCTCTTGGAACCGTACTCATATGCTAGGGATGTGGTCTACCTGGTGGTGTGTCCGGACAACGAGCATGTGACCGGTTGCACTCGCAGCTATTTCCGTGAACTGAGCAGCACCTACGAGATGTGCAAGCTGGGCAAACACACGCCTATCCGAGGATGGGAAGGTATCCTGCAGGTGGGCGCTGCTCGCAACAACGTGCCCGCGGATCGGGAGACCACTCCGTTAGATGAATGGTTGCGGACTTTGGAGCATACTGCTCTAGCGGAGCAAATTCGTCGTTATGCAGTGGCTTTTATTCACCAATTGGCTCCCTATCTGAGTCGAGTGCCTAATGATAAGACGCTGCTGAATCCACCGGATGGCTCTGGAAACTCAAACTCCAAAGGAGGCAGTTCTTCATCCTCGAACAGCTCTTCAGTCACTGGATTGCCTGGCGGGGACTTACCCACGGATCATATCAAGCTCGAACCGGGTACAGAACCTCCAGTTCAACCGATGGAAACCAACGAAATAAAACAGGAACCAGGCACAGGAAAGGGAGGATCTGCAGCAGGTGATACCAAACCTGCCCTGATCCTAGGCGATCCATTGGGCATGGGCGAGACTTTGGAGGACATCAACCCATCTGCCATTGTCCTCTATGTGGTCAATCCGTTTACCTTTGCCTCGGATAGCTGCGAATTGGAGCGACTGGCTTTAATTGCTCTGCTTCGTTGCTACGCGGAACTCCTGAAAGCTGTCCCCGATTCGGTGCGATCGCAGATGAACATACAGATTATTTCACTGGAATCCGTAATGGAACTGGGACCCTGCGGCAATAGAAAGCGCTTCTCTGATGAGATTAGGTGCCTGGCCTTGAACATTTTTTCGCAGTGCCGGCGACATTTGGTGCACGCGCAATCCGTGAAAAGTCTTACGGGCTTTGGAACGGCCGCCAATATGGAGGCCTTCCTCAAGACCAAGGACGAACCTAATCGCCGGGCCTACAAGATGTACACCGCTCCCTTTGTTTTGGCACCGATGCACGAGAGGAATGACAAAACGGACTTCTCCAGATCGGCGGGCAGTATGCATGGACAGAATGAACATCGTTACTCGGTGATGTACTGCAATTACTGCCTGAGCGAGGATCAGGCCTGGCTTCTTGCCACCGCCACAGATGAACGGGGCGAGTTGCTGGAAAAGATCTGCATCAATATCGATGTGCCGAATCGGGCGAGAAGAAGGAAAGCTCCCGCTCGCTATGTGGCACTGAAGAAGCTGATGGACTTCATCATGGGAATCATCTCGCAGACATCGCAGATGTGGCGATTGGTTATCGGTCGCATTGGACGGATAGGACACAGTGAACTGAAGTCGTGGAGTTACTTGCTCAGCAAGCAGCAGCTCCAGAAGGCTTCCAAGCAATTCAAGGACATGTGCAAGCAATGTACATTGATGTATCCACCCACCATCCTGAGTGCCTGCCTGGTGACCCTGGAACCGGATGCCAAGCTGCGCGTGATGCCCGATCAGTTTACGCCGGATGAGCGCTTCTCACAGATCTCCATGCAGAATCCGCTGGCCACGCCGCAGGACGTGACCTGCACCCACATCCTGGTATTTCCCACCAGCGCCGTCTGTGCGGTATGTTATTAGAATGTTTAATGAAAATGTTTTTATGTTTATGAGTTGTGTTCGCTTGCAGCCCTTTACACGCCAATTCCAGAACGAGCCGCAAGTAGATGACGACTTCCTCACCTTTGAAGAGGAGGGCAACGAGGACTTTGACGATGCGGAAATCGGAGACCTCTTGTGGGGGGATAGTAAGTACTTGCGCAATTGACAGCGCTCGCCTTCATTTACTAAGAGTTATGTTTTCTTAAATTAGCTCACATAGACAGGGTTTCCAATCATGGTAGTCCGGGACGCATGGATGACAACCGCAGCTGGCAGAGCGCCGGTGGCAATAACTTCAAGTGCACGCCGCCACAGGAAGTGGAAGAGGTGGGTGATCTAAATGGTTAAGATCTTACTGAGACATTTATTAACTCTCCCTGTAATTTAATTTCAGGTTGGTTCACTCAACCAGCAGCCAATATCAGTGGGCTACATGGTGTCGACGGCGCCAACGGGTCGCATGCCCGCTTGGTTCTGGTCCGCCTGTCCACATCTAGAGGATGTGTGCCCCGTGTTCCTGAAGACGGCCTTACACCTTCATGTGCCGAGTATACAGTCAGCCGACGATATTCTCAACTCGACCAATGCCCATCAGTCGGCCAACGACCATCCGCTGGACTCGACCCTCACGGCGGATGTGTTGCGCTTCGTCCTCGAGGGATACAACGCCCTTTCCTGGCTTGCCCTAGACTCCAACACACACGATCGTCTCTCCTGTCTACCCATCAATGTCCAGACGCTGATGGATCTGTACTATCTGACGGCTGCCATAGCCTAAGGTTCGGGATCTCAGATCTCTGATCATCGATCTCCGGATCACTTCAAAACTGAATCAATCAAACGCAGTCGCATGCTTCCGTTTGTAGAACTTCCACTAGCTATATCAACCTCAAAGAACAGCAAAATAGAGAACCGAAAAGATCGAAAACAGAATCAACACCAAGCAACCTTGAATCGAAGTTAACAGAATCCAAAAACACCAACAGAACAACAAGAGCAATAGCAGCAGTTAACGCAACGCACAGATTACTTAGCATAATCAACCAGAAAACAAAAAACATACAAATACAAGGATCACCGATGAGAGCGGCGGATATATAACATTATCGTCTACCGATAAGTCTTGAGCAGCAACAGCATTACTATTTATTAATCGTCGAGAATTTGTAAAAGTGTCAAGTGCAAGAATTGTTTGTTTAATTTTATTTTTTTATACCATATACATAGGCTGGCGTTCGATTAGTGTTTAATATTTATAAATATACAACAAAAACCGAGGAGCGAATGAGAAAATAGCGAAAAGCAACAACAACAACAAACAACCACACACATGTAGGCATATAGGTCATATATACAATAGCGAAGTGGAGTTGAAGCGAGTAACATATTTAGCATAAGTAAAAAAGTTTGTACATATTTACAACCAATTCGCCGTAAGCAGGAACAGCAGAAGCAACAACAAAGCAAAACAGAAGTGTAATTATACAATTAGTAATTAGTTTACAACAAATTGAACGAGGAGAGGAGGAGATGGAAGGAGACCGTATTTAAATCTAATAAATTAAATCAATAAACTGTGTAAATTTTTGTGCAAAGCGAGAATTAGTTTAAATTTAAATTATACAAGATGAAAGTGTAAAAAACAAAACCCAAAACACACGCATTAAACGCCCCACACGATGGAAACAAACAAAAACATATAATTAACTGAAACGGTATACTGTAAATTGCATATATAAAAACTATATATATCTGGACGCCAAGCGCAGATGATGAAGGACGATGAGTTAGGAGTAAGAGGAGGACGAGGACAGGATTAGAGTTAGGATGAGCGTTAGGAAGAGTTTTTTATTTCGCGTATTTCGTGTGTTTTTTTTTTGTTGTCTCTTGTATTCGTATAATCCTAGGAAAACATTTTGTACTTCACACAGAAACTGAACACAACCCACAAACAAACAAAAACACACACCACTCACATAGCCAATTTTCTAATAATGAAATACTTAAACGAAAATGTGTACAAATTAATAATAATGCTTGTAAAGAACGGGAAAGCTTTCTACACTCACCAACAAAACAACAAACACAAGAACCACAATTGATTTAGCACGTTGAAACGATTTTCGCCTAGGCTTAAGTTTAAAACAAAATCAATTAAGTGAAAAAAATGGAAAACAATTATTAAACAATGAAATTATTTTTACCTGTGTATTTTAATTAGCATAAATTGTGTAAACAACAAAACCTACGATTACAAAGACGTTTTCTAGTAATTATCAAACACCAACATAAAACACACACACAACACCCCCACATGCATATCTTTTAAGTAGTTTCGATTTCATTTAGTATTCTATTATTTGTGTAATAAACCGAACTTATTTGCAAACCTGATTTTTCATTATTTCATTTCATTCCGTATCCTATCGCTCAGAGACCCGATTTCCCCCGATCCCACGTAGATCATCCATATCTATATATCACGCAAGTGCACGCTGTAAATAAGGAACCGCTTACAATCATTTTCTAGAAATCGATATTATCGTGCTTGCCGAGTTTTTCCTAGCTAAGGTTTCAGTTGCCACACACACTCTCTCATTCATTTCCCGGGAAATCCAATGTTCCCGGGCGCCAATAAAAGCAAATAATTATAGCAATAATTAAGTGTAAAGCACAACAAATGTTTAATGATTAATGAAAACAACCAACTCGAAAAACATTTACCGCAACAATTGACAACAAGCATTCATAGCAAACAAAACCAAGTAAAAAAAAAAGGAAAAAATATATATGGATTAAAAACCAAAATGGGAACAGTTTTTTAATAAACCAAACTCAGTTTACGAGTTGAAAATTTTCTAAATAACGATTAGCTTAAACTAAGGACAAACCACAATTCACTTGGAAATGGAGTTGAGGAAATGCGAGCGACTAGAAGTTATACACGTTCATTGTAAAGTTAATTTAGGTCAAGTTCAAGGCTTGGAAACTAATTAAAGATTAAACAAAACAAATTAAAAAAACGGAAAAAACCACAAAACGCAAAGGAAAATACAAACAAAAAAGTGCATTAAGCGTTGAGGAGGAAAACCATTTACTAGCCTAGCCTAAAAAGTATGCAATTATTAAGTTAAATTAGTTTCGAAGGCATCCAATCGATGAGATCCCAGAAAAGATCAGAAAAACGAAGGAAGAGGAGCAATTTAAAATGAGGACAGACATTTGTTTATAAAACAAATGAGCGCATGTTATAGACACCATACACACTATATATATACATATATATATAGACATATATCGAGATTGGGTACGAGAACATGAATGTCAAAATCTAGCTACAGAATTGCATATTATATATATTATATACAATTAAATATTATATAATGGGCAAAAACAAAATGTTGTTGTAGTAAAATTACAATTAAGTTTTGTTTTGCTACCAAGTCAGAAAAGAAACAAGAGCAAAATTGATGAGCAAATAGCAAAGGTCAAAAATGGGTCAAATTTTAAATGTGCAAAGCAAAAACACGACAAAATAACAAAAAACAAGAACAAATAAAAAACGAAATGCAATTTTTTGTAATTTCTTTACAGATTATTGATTTGTTTGGCAAGCAGGCGATAACAAATACAAACTAAAAAACCATTTTTCAAATAAAACTAACATCAAATTCAAAACTTAACGTGCTTTTCTTATGAGTAGTGGCGTTGTTGGGATATTTCCGTTATGGTGATTTTAAATGTAATGGAATTTTTTGGTAAATGAAGGTTGCGTGCGTCCAACGACCCTATAATGATTGCGCAACGACTTGGCGAACTCCAGACCTCCCGCATGCTTGCATATGTCCCAACCATCCACCAAAATGTCCAGCTCGTAGGAGTTGTTTATGTGCTCCAAGTCGTCTGCAAGATACATTTGGTTAGCGATTACCAATTATTTTTTAGATGTGGATATAAAAACTCTAAGCGAAATGTTTTTTGGAGGTTTTTATAATGGTTTTTGTTGTTTTATGGAATCTTTAGTTGTCAAATCAGTATTTTTATTATGGTTTACAGATAATTAATAGTTTGACTAAGGCAAAAATAATTAACAAACACCTTTGCAGTGTGCATTTTTATGGAACACAATCTTTTTTCTAACATTTCTATTACATGTTCAAATTTAAAGTTTCTTTAAAATATTTCCTTATAAAAGAAAAGGTATACTAGTATACTATAATAAAGGGATCCACGATCAGAGCTTTAGCACCTCAGCCTATTCCGTACTTACTGACAACCATCTCCTTGACCTCCCACTCAGCATCGTATCGTTGTCTGAGTAACTGTAGCACCGTCAGGAGTTGGGAACTTTTTAAGTTGGGAAGGATCCTGTGTGCCGCCACTATTTCATCATCCATCCAGAGGGTCAGTCGGTTCAGCATGCGGGCAGTGTTGTCCCTAACCTTAGTCAGTGATTCTAAAATTTTGGTCATCGTTGACAGAGGACGCTCGAGGCGTAAATATAAATTATTGATCCGCTTCTCAGTGGACTGAAGACCCTTCCTTGAGTCCGCATTATTCAGGAGATCCTCGGTGGCGAAGATCCGGCGGTATATAGTCTTGATACGCTTCATGGCCTCCTGGCCATTCTTAATGCCCATTTGCCAACGGTCCGCATCCTCGCACACCTGCTCGGACATGGAAGACATCTCAGTTTTGATCTTTGAAATGTCCATTTTCAAAAAAGGAAATGTAAAATTGGCACGTCAATCTAAGCATCTGATTTCGATTGATTTTTAAACTCAACCATTTAATATCGATTGTTTAGTAAAAACATGCAAATTGAAAGTTCCAGGGTTGTCTAGACGCTGTTTATTGTGACTATTTCAGGGCTGCAAAGGATAGCATCCCAGAGTTGCATTTTGCCATTTTCCGGAATTTTGCTTGTTGCAAGACTTGGCTATAGATTATTACTTTAAAAATTTATACCGTACAAAAATATAACTTACTTATTAATTAGACTTATATATAATACTTCCATTTTAAATCTAAATTTTTGTCTAGTTCTTGTTTTATTTTCTCTAGCTATTCTCATTCCTTTAAAGCTCCTTAATTTCCCTCCTTTTTCGATGGCATTGCGTGCTAAATTGATCAAGTGGCCACGATTAAGCAGCCGACTAACTTTAGCCGCATTAATTGCGATCATGTTGCCCCTCCTCCCGCTTCGCCGCCCCCTTTTCCACTATGTGCAATTAGCTGCGTGACGAAGGCGCAGAAAAAACTAGGAAACAATTTTCACTCGGTTTACTTTTGGTTGGGTAGGGGGAATCTGGAGATGGGGTCCCAGAGTCTGGAGAATGGAGCTGGTGCTGTCAGGCGGCATGAATTACTGTGCGTTGATTGCCTTTAAGGCCTGATTGCAATGGCAACAACAACTTTGGCACAAATTGCTGGCTGCTGTTCTTTATATATATTTCTTTTTTTTTTTGTAGCGGCATGCGGCAAACGAGTTTTCGGGAGGTTTGTCCCCCAGTTTTTTCCCCCCAAACCGACTGCATTAATTATCAACAAATCATTTTTGCAGCACCAAAAGCCACATTTATCAGTGATTATGCATGGACAAAGGAGTCGGGCTCATTGGACAGCGGACTTCGGATGCTCCACAACTCGCGGGTTGCAAGTGTCGCCCGACATATGTTGCTGCCCCTCGCAGATGTATCTGTGGATGCCATGTGGATCGAGATGGCGATCTTGACGTGGAGCCGCACAAATTTGTCAGAAAGGAGCAGAGCTTACGTTCACTCAGCGAAAAATTATAAATAATTTATATAGAAAATCATAGCTCTTTTAAGAAGCATACTAACTTGAAAATTTCATAGTTCCATTGATTTTATTTATCGTGTTAATATTCCAATTTGATTATCCAATACTGTAATTGCAAATATACAAATAAATGTACTTAAGAATTTCCACCGAAGAGAATTTTAAATCACCTCCGTATTTCAATAATAGGTTGATATATGTATATCTATTACACCCTTTAATAAAATTTGAGTTATCTAACTATATATTCATTGAAATTCTTATTAATATAAGATCTTAGTTTGTATAATTTATTAAAATTACAAGACTAGGCTTATACGTGAAATATTATTTTTAGCCTTCCCGATTTTTAGTGATACTTGATTGACTATATGTAAATATTTTTTATAAAATTCTAACCTGAATCAAAGTATGATATTCCAAGAATCGTGGAATACGAATGGTTAAGAAATTATTTCACAAAAAATCCTGACCCCTATCCTGAACAATATAACTGATATATTATGAAAATGCTAGTACTTCTAAAATTTGTTTTTAGTGACGAATAATTTATGTATAACCGATATTCTGTTTTTTTCTCTGTGCATTTGGAGGGCTCTGAGCCCAGGGCGTCGGCGACATGACATGGCATTGATAAGCGCAAAAAAATCGAATCGAATCGCCGCCGTCGCAGGCTCGCAATTAAGATATTTTTATGTAAATTAATGGAAACTCTGAAAGGAGAAGTCGCAGCTCTTTGTGAATTTGGAATGGGTCGCTGTGGAGGCGAAGAAGCTGGAGCATGCGTGCAACTTACAAATAAGTACAGCGATTGGGTCTCCCAATTGCGCATTTTTAATTGGAAAGCTCAGGGAAGAACCAAAAGCGCCTGCCTGCCTGCCAACTGGAGAACTGGAGAAGCAAACAAAAAGTGACGCACCGAAAATTTATTGTTCCAAGGCATTTCAAGCGGATCCAAGGCGATCCGATTCGAGGATCCGAGGATCCGAGGAGCCGCATGTCGAATGGCGAGTGCAAACAGCAAAAAGGCCGCGGGCCATGAAAATGAAACAAAACAGGAAGATTCAGCGGCATTGTATTGTTCCCCCATCTCGGGGTCCGTTCTTTATGCTCCTCGGAGCTCTCTTACTTAGGCATTTATGTCTGGCACTTGACACATTTTGTTATGGCATTTTTCAGCTACCGCGCGGACTCCTCCGACTCGGTTGACCCAATCAAAATTCCTGGATCTTGCACTTGAATGCGTTTAATTTGTAAGATTCGCTTTGGGTCGGCCGCTGGCCAAGTGTTGAACTTTATGTTCTCTGATGCTCTGGACAGAACATTAACCTTAAGGACTTTTTTCTGAGGCTGTGGGATAAGGCTTACCGGAAGGGTTTTAAAAAGTGGTGTAAGGTTTGTACAGAATTTTGTTAAATAACACTGACCGACGATGATATATAGCTTAACCATACTAGTGTATACTAATGCAATCTTAAAATAAACGATAACAACAGTGTAAATCTATGTGTGTTTGAAAAGTCGTATCATTGCTCAGTCATAAAAATATCTCTCACTGATAAAAAAAATATTCATTTTAAGTAAAGAAATCAATCAGACTATTATCAAAAGTCAAATATAGTATATTGTGTTCTACAGTCTTCTCCAATATAACTTTTAGTAAATTTAAAAACTTCTTATAGAGAAAAATCCTTAAAATAATACTCATCAATCACTCGTCTATAAGCACCCATTTTACAACTAAAACATAACATTTTAATGACCATGGGTGAATATCATTTTAATGGCCAAAGACTGATATAAAACCCAGCTTGCATCTCCAGGAAATACAGTAAACCACATAAGTGAGTAGTGCATTCATTTTTCGATTTCCTCTGAAGATCATTTGGATGTTGTTTTCATCCATTTTCCATTACCTGGTTTCGCATTTCCGATCCTCGTCGTCCGGTCCTCTTGCAACTTGCAACCTGCAACCAAAAGAGCAGCCCATCATTTCTGCATTATTAATTCCTTTTCTAGCGTAAGCCAACTTATTTGCCTGCTTATCTCCGCCAACATCCTTTTGGTCTGTGCGCACTTAATGGGGATCCGCGTCCAACTATCTGGGGAGTAGGGTGGTCAGTCCAGGGTCTAGATTCCAGATCTTACACTCATAAAAAATGTATAAGTTACAATTAGCTCAATATCGTCAGGAATTAAAGTTGTAATAACTTCTCAGAATTCTGTTTATTAATTTATTTGAAACGATTTCGTCGAAAGCTCTATCAAAAACAATTACGTGCCAAATATTCCCCATTTTTTGTATATTTCAAAGTCAAATTGTCAATTTGTCAAACCCAATTGAATAACTTAAGTCTTTCATTTTGAGTTGGCGTTGCCCCGAATCCGCATTTCAATACTACCCATAAAATCACTCTACCACTGTTTTATTAAAAACCAAACGATTTACCATTTTTTATGAATTTTTTCCTCTGCAGACCCCAATGCAGCTGCAAACTCCAACTGACCAGTTGAGATTGTTGTTGCCGGTAGCGTTTTCCGATCGCCGGACAAGCAAAACGAGAGCAGAACGAGTCTAGTCTGCGCGGGGGGACAAGTTGATTTATTCTAATCTGTATAAGCGTTGCTATAATAAAGCAAAAAGGCCCACGGAGAGTGGACAATGCTCGCCAGCGGCTTTCGGCCATGTCCGAAGTTAAGGCCAAATTGCCGATCGAAATGGGGAGAGAGCGAGGGTACTACGATTCAGGTTCAGCGTTTTAGGCCCCAACAGTCCCTAACCATTGTGTGCCTGCTGATTCTGCATTGTAATTGGATTTGAGCCGCCGGTGCAGTCGCAGCTGCAGATTCTAATAATGACTCAGCAGCAGAAAGGAAAAAGGAACGTTGTGGAGTTGTGGGTATCCTGTCCCCATTGTTCTTGATTTGGCCCCCAGGTCTCTGGCTAAAGCCTTTCACCGGGACTAATGCACTCCAGACCATCGAAATGAAGATGCATGCGCTAATTTATCGACTCTCGACGCGAAGGTAGCTCCAGACATGCAAAATGTCGCCGGCCAAGAATGTTATCTACGCCCAGAGTCTCAGGAAAGTGTCGCTTCCAAAGACAAGGGACATTGGATGAGGGAATGGCTGGTGGGTTTGGAGGACCTGGGATGGGGAATGGCGTTGATAGCCAGCAAGAGGCTAATGCAAAGGCAGAGGCGTCAATGGGCTCGAGTGGTAGCAGCCGCCAGCAACACCCACTTCGATGCGATGTTCTTATCGCGAGTATACTGTTCCCAACAAAGGGTAGTTCTACTTTTGTTGAAGAACTTGCCTTGAAAGGTTCGCCATTCCTTTAGATATATAATACAAAACAAAAAAATAATAAACAAATTTAAATATAAGGCATAAACAGCTCTTGATTTTATTTATATTACCCCTAATAATAAACTATGTAGATGATTTTACAATGTTGACTATATTAATCAGTGCAATATAAATTTAGTCAGTGTTAATAAATATATTAATATCAAAAATTATCTACTTGAAAGATAAATCCTATTTCAAAGGTTCTATTTTAATAATATAATAATCAATAATAATATTTTCTAATATCTTACCAATATTTAGGAGAAACAACTTCTCGAAGAACACCATTTTTGGGTACAAAGTACTTCAATAAGAAATCCATTATCTAGGTTTATATGATATGCACTTATAGGTCCACAAAATGGTTTATGCTCCTTTAAAAACACCTAATTGCACCTATTCCCTTCCCAATTAAAGTGTATTCGAGATTCATCTGATCGCAAGTTGGCTGCGCATTGTTTTCGCTGTCTTCGCATTGCGTTTTATTCAAATTTGAACATGGTGCTAACACGCAAGGAGCAGCCAAGTGGGAGGATTGGGATGAGGATGAGCCGGCTGAGGATTTTGGGAGGAGCGGGTTGTAGGCGGTGGCCAAATCACGTAATGCGCCATGCAAACATTGTTAAAAACACTTGTGGCCCGAACTCCAAGCCACTTCACTCCACTCCACACCAGTCTTCATCCTCTTGCCACTTCACTTGATTTTATTTTCGCGCAAATTTGCATTTTCAATTCTTATTCGCTATCGCTGCGTCCTCTGGGAAGGCAGGAATAAAATAACAGGAAGGGGCAAAACAGCAGCGGCGAGAGGACTTTGCGTTTATTTAAATTTATTTTCCTAGAATGCCACAAGTCGCCATCTCAGTCGCATCGATGTGCAATTTGTTTGTCGCCCCGGCGAAGGCTCCGAAAACTGCATCCGCTCCCTGCCAGCCAGTCTGACTTCTGTGGGTCCGTCTATATGTCTGGGGATCCGACTTCCAGTCCTGCCAGAGTGGCCTCAGCCCCACAGCCACGCCGTCCAACTGCGTCTGCGTATGAAAATTAATTGTTGCCACTCGTGACGACGTCGACATCAGCAAAAGCAGAGGCAGTAGTGGCAAAAGCACAAACAACACACTCAAAAAAGGATTTTCTAAATATTTTAAAGCCTTTCATATCAGTTTCCAAATTTAAGAACAAGATTGAGACAATATAACTAATTCCGTTTCTAAAGTTCTATGACTTTTTAAACATTTTCTGCCTACTTCTTTATTATATCTAAGTCATCTAATTTAATAGATTTGTTTAAATTTCGTTGTAAAATCATTATGTTACTGTCAGGACGTTATTATAGTTCATTCCATAACATCTTTAAGATGCTTAGGCCCTATGACACTTGCAGGATTTTTGACAATCAGACTGGATTTATTTAAAAAGTTGTGGAAATCTAGAGAAAAATGGCTTGCAGCTTAAAGAACTTTATGAATTTTTTTTTTATAATGTTGTCATGACTTGTCATGTTGTCATGTCATGACTTTTTAAAAAGAAGATAGTCAAAGAAGTGTGATGGGGCCTTTGGCATATTGCTTTAAAATATACTCGTACATATTTTAAACCTTTAAAAATGATTCCTTTTTCAGTTTTTATTACAAAATTAGGGTCATTTTCTTTCAGTGTCGAGGACCAACAGCAGTATGAACAGCAGCAGCACTGCAAATCGCAAGTTGCGAGTTCCAAGTGGGCGGCAATGGGGCGCATATCGTTTAGATTTATGGACCGCTCTCGTCGGACCGCGTGTCGCGTGATAAGTCTATAAAATGTACGTTACATTTGTACGTGCAAATGGCAGTGGGACGATTTGCATATTTGCGAAAGTTTTTCACCCATGGCATCGGATCGGCGTAGGACTTTCATTATGCCATCGTCGCTGTGCCAAGAAAACGGCATTAAAGTCACTTCTGTTGGTGAAAGGTGGTCGCAGGTTCCCAGTTTTCTGGACAAGGTGGGGACACTTACATCCCTGGGCTTTTCGAGTCTTTTTGGTGGACGTGGAGTGGTACCATCATGTGGGCTGACCCAGCGGTACATTAAGTGTGTTAATTGTATTTCATATTACCAGGTATCTGGTGAAAGGTTGGAAAGTTTGGTCACTGCCTGAAGGGTTTGGCTTTGAGTGGACAATCTTATGGCACATGTTATTCGAAAGGAGATTTATGATTGATCCATGATTAATTTCAGTTTCTCATGCATGTTACTCTACTAGAGCCTCTCAAAAATGTTTTGTATATGTTTTCTAATGTATAATAATGATTTTTCTGGACTCATCTAATCCAGTGTTACATATATAATATTTACTTCGACCTGAACTGCAACTAAATGAATATTTTTTCCATTAAATATGTTATAATAACTAAAATGTACATATATTTATTTCCCTATTGGCTGACATTTCCAGATTGAACTTCGAACGCTGAGCGATTAATTCCCCTGCCAGCGGTGAAGTGCACTACAAAGCCTCGATTTCTCATCCCCAGATGTTTGCCATCCTCAAGGTGGAAGTGCATAATCTGTGCACAAATCTATTCAACAGATTGTCAGGGCCTCTTCCCCTCCATTTGGTCTCCGTAGATCCCATTCCCCGGGCCTTTAACTTCATTGTTCAGTTCTTTGGGCTCCTCAAGCGCAGCGCTTTGTTCAATCAATTTTTGCTTGATTTACAATTTCAAGTTGATGACATTTCACCAGCAGGAACAGAAGGAGCAGTATCACTCGGTTTGTCAGTCCGAGGTGGTGGACGGGGGAGTCCAAGTGAGGGTTCAGCTCCAGAGTGCTCCTCGTGACACATTGCTCCATTAATTTGATGGATTGTAAAGTTTTCCGTTTCACTGACTTGCAGAGCATGAGCGACGACAAAAAAAAAAATGGCAAGGAAAAACTGGAAGAAAAAGGAAAATTAAAGCACATATCGGCGAGGGAGAGTTGCCAGCGGTGATGGTTGTAAATTTATGCCTGCCCAAGTTGACGCTTCACTGAATTTCTGTGTTAAATTGTCACCAGCAACCATGAGGATGATGAGGCCTCTGATGGAGATGGAATCGTCGGAGGCACCAATGTCCAGGATCGCTGAAAGGACCTCATTTGCATTGTGGACACGGCCAGTGAATTTTTTCCACGCCTCAGTTCATCTGAAGTTTTTTAACCAAATTGGGGCAACCGCTGGGTTCCAGCTTGTTTTTTGTTATTTGTTTTGGTAGAACGAGGGGCTGGTTGAGCAATTTTTGGCTCCATCCCAAGCGAAAAGGGTTTATGGCGACAGCAAATGAAATGATGGGAAACGGGGTTGACAGCTGTTTTGGGGATCACTTATGGGGGCCACAGATTTTATAGCCTCTGAAAAGATTTCAGAATGAGTTGTTGATTTTTAATACTTTCAAGGATTCTGCAAAGGATTTTAATCCATTTTAGTTTTAATTTTTATTTAGTTTGTTGTTATTAGCAAAAGTCTATTACTTACTTTAAGTAGACTAAGTACTTCCTCCTAAGATGGTATTGTTTGATTCATAAGAAGACAACTTAATAGTTTTTGGTGGATATGGAAAGTGAGTGTTCATAGTAAATATTGCAATTTTCTTCTTTTTAACTTTTGTATATTGAAAGTAAGATGGATACTTCGTTGATTTATTGTTCCATAGCGAAATACCTCGAATAAATGCAAATACTCCACCCTTTTAAAGTATTTATGCCTTTACGGACTCTCTCCGTTTTGTTAGCGTTTAAAAACGCTTTTAAATGCAACAAAGCGTTTCCCCAGCGATTTGCTGGCGATTTGCAAGCGTTTATGGCGAACGCTTTGTTCTGCCAACTGAATATGACAAGCCCACATTTGGCCAATGGAAAATGGAGATGAAAATGGAGTGGAGATGGAGGTGGTCTCCACCCAAAGTCAAAACCAGATCGCTGCGATAGGCGATTTTTGCATAAAATGCAAAAATGCGACGTCGTTGGCGGAAATGCGTTTAGAGTCGTCCTTTGAGGCGATGCTGCTGTTGCTGTTGCTGTTGATGCTGTAGATGTTGCTGCTGCTGCTGCACTAGCAACATGCAATGCCAACACGTTGCCACCGGGTAGCGTTGTTTTTGCAGCAAGGGCTTTGTTTAATTGCGAGTTTTGCAGTTTTGCCAGACTGGCTTCCTTTTACGATGCCCTTAAACCAAACTGAGTAGCCCCCCATTTTCCCCTTTTCCCGCCTGTCAGCTGCATGAATTGTCCCTGGAGGCATATGCACCATACCGACTGCAATTGAGAATCGGAGCACGCTTCAAGTTTTTGGCCTGGGCTCGGGCCTGGCCACAGAAATTCCTATGCCCATGTGCAATGGCCAGTTCCTGTTGCCTTTCCACGCACAATGCGCGCATAATAATGAGGCGACTGGCAGGAGCAGGATGAGGAGCAGGAGCTCCTCCAGATGGAGGAAGGAACAGCGGGCGGATCAGAAGCGATGGAGCATGAGCACTAAACCGGTTTGACCTGTCTAACACCCCAGACAACCCTTCCCATTACCCCTTTCTGCCCCTCTGAAAACCCTCAAAGGATTCGATCCATTTCTTTGGTTTGCATTTTGTCATATCAAGTGATTAATGGCTGATTTTCCTGATTTTCCTCTACCTCTAGTTGTCCAGATTGACCCCCATTGGGAGACATTAGAATGGCATTTGTCTAGTTTTGTTTTGGGGGAGGAGGCTTTTTGCTTTAGCTAATCAAATAAAAGGAAATTCTTGTTTGTTTTTAACCGCAGGCTTAGAAATGGTGATCAATTTGTTGGTATATGTTGATTTAAAAAACTATAAAGGAATTTATCAAAATCAAAAGGTTTTAGGCGATTTTAAATTGAAATATCCTGTAAGAGTGGCTAAATTTTTGTTTACCTAAAGGTTTTATTAAAACTATTA